GAGGGAACCATGAGGTCATGGCTACTATATTCGCATGGTAAGGCAATTACATTAACCAGTTACATACATCTAATGCGTAAATTATCTACATTATTGCGAAATTATCGTCATACTCGTGAACAGTGCTGCTTGTGGGGATTAGTCTGTTCTGTTTACAGCCACTACATTATTATTTTTTGTTTAAAAATCAGTCTGTATTTTTGTAATCATGTACAAGCTCTTTTAAAAAGAATAAGAGCTGAGTTTCTTGTTAGTTCTTCAATACTACGTTTACATTCAGCCGCTTCCCCTGCCACTCGCGCTGCCGGAAATATTGCCGGGCGACAACTGAGCGAGAGGGCTGAATGTAAAAACCGCTGCTACTCGCGCTGTCAAACCGACAATCGAGGGAGCGCCGGGCAGCGCGAGTGGCAGCGCCAATGGCATGAGAAGTGTTTACACTCTCGCGCTGCTCACTTCCCTGCCCACGAGGGCTGAGTGTAAATTCGGCATTAGCTCTTAAGCTTAACTGATGGTAGATTTGACATACCATAAGGGGCCGTTCAAGTATTACGTAAGCACTATAGGGGGGCGGGGGGTCTTTTCTTTGCTTATTTTGGATGACATGGGGGTGGGGGAGTCTGTATGATGATTACGTCATCGGTCGTAATTTACTTTTTTTACACGAATGGCAACCCTCACATTGTCTTTGTTAAAAAAACAATACATTAATTGAGAAATGTTTACGTAAGCATGGGGGGAGGGGTAAGAGCTTTGCTTACTTTTGCTGACAACGGGGGATGAGGGGTAAATAATTGTGATAAATCTGCTTACGTAATACTTGAACAGCCCCTAAGACGTAGGTCTTATGGTATGTCAAATCTACATGAATTAAGATATTTTGATTTAATCTGCTGTCGCTGCCAACTCTGTGTAGGATAGCGTGAAGATAGACAGTTTTTTAAGTGCATAGCAATGGTAAACTGCCTGCACTAACGATATAACCTATAGGAGAATGATAATATGAGATGAAGTCGGGTAAGTTAGCCCATAACGGTGCATTCATTTTTTTTTATTTTATAACACAGTGGACAAACGAGCATGCGGCTCACCTGATGGTAAGTGATTACCGCCGCCCATGAGCACCCGCAACACCAGGGGAATTGCAAGTACTACTTACTTGTCGGCCTTTTAAAAAGGAATAAGCTCTTTTCTTGAAGGTTTCAATATCGTATCGGTTCGGAAATACCATTGCTGGAAGGTGATTCCACAATGTAGTTGTGCGAGGCAAAAAGTTTCTAGAAAACCGCACTGTGGAGGACCGCCATTCTTCCAGATGATCAGGATGGTATTTCAGTAAATTCATCGGACAGGGCTGTATTTAGAATAGAATAGAATAGAATAGAATAACATTTATTACATCACAACACAATAACAACGACGCTGACAGCTTCATATAAAGTATTATTTAATTTAAAAAACATAATAAAATCACAGCATGCAGTGAGTTTTCGTTTAAAATATAGTACCCGATTTTATACGCCTTAAAATAAAATTCATAAGTTGTAAAAGCTAAAAAAGCACACTATAAGTAAATATTTATGTTGATACCAAAATACGTAGCGATAAATAAAAAAAAAACATCCGAGAACATTTTAAGGTCTTTGGCCCAACCAAAGACCTTAAAATGTTCTCGGATATCGGAATCTTATTCCCGAAATAAAGTATGATAATAAAATGAGGAAATTCCAAACGATACGACATGAAATTACAATAAAAAAATATATATTAGTTATTACTGGCTACTCGCCCCGGCTTCGCACGGGTGTACATGTATTATACATATAAACCTTCCTCTTGAATCACTCTATCAATTAGAAATAACCGCTTCGAAATCCGTTGCGTAGTTTTAAAGGTTTAAGACTTTGTTTTATACTATGTAATGATGATACGGATATTATAATGATTTTGCGCTGTGGATACACGTGTTGTGTTTACATAATAATTCTTACGATTTAATACAAACAGACAGTTTCAATATAGCAATATATTTGATTTATAATATTAACTCATATGCATGTTAGTCTATATGGTATTTATAATATGGGCCTAGTTGCCTGAAATAAATAAATAAAATAATCATATATGCAATAAAATTGGAGTGTCTGTTTGTAATATTGAAATAACCGGTTTTTGACTACATGCATATGAATATAAATACGGTACTTACACCAAAATATCATTTTTTACAATTTTTGTCTGTCTGTCTGTTTGTTCCGGCTAATAACATTTTTTACATACATTACATTTTTTATGTCTGTTTGTTACGGCTAATCTCTGAAATGACCGGACCGATTTTGACGGGACATTTTTTGACAGCTGATGTAATTAGGAGTAACTTAGGCTACTTTTATTTTAGAAAAATAAAGTTAAATTCCACGCGGACAAATTCACGGGTACAGCTAGTCAAATATAAATGTTGTTGAGCCAATAATTTATAGTCACATGTTTACTATAGTCAGGTCAGAAGCGGATCCTATTGAATGTGACGCAAGATACATCAAAGGTCGCGGAACGGGTTCTATGGCAGACTCATCTAATGCAAAACTAATATTTGTATGGTGCACTTGTTGTAGTGTAAACGCGGTTTTTGTGTGCTAGTGTATCAGTTTTATTTAGTAACAGAATTTGAATTATAAGCATAGATAAAAAATGTATGTAGAAACATTTTTACGGCCTCAATTGTTTTTTTTTCGGACTACTCTAATGCTGTTGGCCTTTACAGCTTCACCGGATGATAGGGGGCGAGTGCAGATGGCACTCCAAACCGAAGGAACGACTTATGGAGCGGTTGAAATCCAACTCCCTTCTGAGGGCACCACTAGGGATTCGAACCTCGGCCCAGGCCGTTGTATTTTCGATCCCCGTTTGAATTGGACGGAGGATCGATCGGAGGGGGGCCTCAAGGGGTGGTGTAACGGTTTGTTTTCAATAGTTGCGAGATTTTTCTTTTTTTTCGGACTACTCTAACGCTGTTGGCCACAGCCCTTTACAGCTTCATGGACGATAGGGGACGAATGAAGATGGCACTCCAAACCCGTGGAAGGACTTATGGAGGCTGATAGCCAACTCCCGTCTGACGGATACTACTTTAGTCTGAGGCACCGCTAGGGGTTTGAACCAATTCTCGGGTGTCACCGAACGATAGGGGGCGAGTGATCTTCACTCGCTCCCTATCGTCCGGTGAAGCTGTAAAGGCCAGCCGCGGCCAACAGCATTATAATTGTACGAAAACAAAACCGTTAAATAAAGTTAGTAACGCAGAAAAGTTAAACAAACAAACAAAGTCATTTATATATATATATTGTAGGCGACGCACTACGTTATCAAAAAATTGTATCTTTTTTTTTTTATAAAATTAATTTTATTATTATATGTCCGTATATATACATAAATATACACGATACGTTCGTTCTTTGTAATTTTTTTAATAAATACATATGAGGGTGCGCACAATGTAATTAATATAAATCTACCCGTTTTCTACACAATATTGTAGTCGGATTCAGACGATCGCGGTGACGCTCGGTGTCACATATAAAATAAGTGCGTGCTCTCAGTTTGCGAAAATAAGTCGGTGTTTTAAACCTTCCTTTACATATATAATGCTAAAAAAAGATAAAGAATGCAAAATATTTTGTGCTTAAATTATTATTATCACTTAATACAAGATTCAAAAGCAACGAAAACAAATTTTATAAGTTTCTTGACTCTGGTGTTTTGAAACGATTCAAATAAATGTTCGGACAGCGTCCGATATTAATATTTTCCTTTATTTTGGAGCAAATCGCAGCCAAATGTTTGTCATTATGGACCTTTATTTATGGAGGATTTCCTTATCTATATAAAGAAATAGAGTTTAAGTGTCTGTTTGTAATTTCAAATTGTCAACGTTTCACTACATGCAAAAAGTTTTGATGTACAGTACTTAAAATTTTTGGCTTGTCAAAATTTTAGAGTCGATACACGTGTTGCAACGGGTGTAGATCTGATAACGGTCGAAGTTTGGTCACTAGTGGGGAAGATCGTAACGCTTCCCGTAACGGTGGTCAGGTTTCCGCACTGAATATTTGTGATGTCTCACATGCTAATGGTAGCTAAATTAAACAAAATAATAGAATAGAATTTATTAATTCGTTTTATACAGTAATGACATGTGCACAAGGAATAATATACACATTAAAAAAACAGAGTCAGTGTGGACCACAACTCAACATAATGCTGGAAACAGATTCCGGCGCTGATTTTCAGTTGGGCCCATAGTACGGACGCACATATATTACAATTAAAAAATACGCATACATTAACTTTATAAAACAGACATTATACAATTAAAAACAAAATTATGTCTATGAGAAAAAGATAATAAATAATAAAAAGAAAAATTATAATAATCGCAAAACATTATGTACGCCTTCAAATAATAATATAATAATACTAGCTGTCCCGGCAAACGTTGTTTTGCCTTTAAATAAAAAAAAAAATGGGGTTGATGATAGAAGAGTGAAAATTTAGGGGTGTGTGTAAAAATACAAATAGTAAATGACTTTTAAACTGTATTGCTATATATATCAGGCAATAATAAACAGATGGACATGAAAACGCAAATAGTACGACAACTGGGGTTACGAAGTTACGTACTTACGAAGTTTTGGTAAAAAAACTACAAATCCACATAATAAAAGAGTAAAAATAAAAACAATTGTCGAAAGAATGAAAAAACAATTTTTCGCGTGGACCACCCTTAACACTTAAGAGTATAAAAATTAATTAAAAACCTATTCTCTGACTTGGTGAATATACATAAAAGTTTCATCAAAATCGGTCAAGCCGTTTCGGAGGAGTATAAATTCGAAACCTGTGACTCGAGAATTTTATATATTAGATACATTTAGCAAATAACTGACATTCATATTACAGTTAAAATAAGAAACTGATGTTATCCATAACATAAACTCCAGATGCTGTATCACACGCTGCTCATCTTATCCAGTGTGGTGTTATCCAGCTGCGACGTGTCTCATCTGCAGCTCCAGGAAGACCACACGACGGAGCCGCCGCCACCGAAGCCCTATGTGTTCTCTTACACGGCCGGCAGGTACCCTGGTCATGCTGATAGACAGCATACCGAAGTTAGTGACGGCAGTGGAGTCATTAGAGGTGAGATTCTTGTATGTAATAATAACACACACCCACACAACTGAGCACACACACCCACACACATACATACACACACACACATAACGATTGTTCAAGAAAACAAATATTTAAATTAAACTAAAAAATAATAGTAAATTGTTGGTAAGTTTTTTTTAATTTTTTGTATCAAAAAGTGTATATCTGTTAATTTTTATAATGTGGCATTAGAAAGAAGAAGAAGAGAAGAGAAGACATACAATCCTAAATTTTTACCAGGGATGTTATGGATATGAAATTTCGGATCGGAGGTTTCGGATATAGGAATGATTATTATACCGGACACGGATACGGATGTGGATATGAAATTATTTCAGATTATCCATTAGTTTCGGATAATTTCAGTTATGAATATTATTTTTTTAAGGAATTTCAAAAGTAAAATTACAAATAGCTCATAAAATAGTTACATAACTTGTCTCTATTAGGCTCCGCTCCTATCCGATATTATCCGAAACTTTTATTTCGGATTCGGTTACGGTTACGAATATTTTTTATATCGGATATCCGATAGTTTCGGTTACGGCTACGGAGCTCCCTAACATCCCTGATTTTTACCCATCTACCATCAACCTTTATTTTTCAATAGCGATATTAATTTATATGGCAAAATAACTTTTAGTAGGACAGTAGTTATTTAATAAAAATCATTATAAAACTGTGAACTATCCCTCAAATCTTAGTTCAGGCTTTAACAGTTAGGTAGTAGGATTCACAGTTATGAAATTTCTCAGTGTTATTTTAAGACAGTAACTGAGTTTCTTGCCATTTCCAAACTGAACTGTGAAATCTTAATCTTACATATATTATAAGCGCGAAAGTTTAATATATATGTTTGTTACAAAATATAATAATTACAATTTATTGAAATTAATAGTTATAAATGACTTGTAAATATTAATTATCTGTTTATTGGACAAAAGTTGTGTTTCATTATGTATACCCTAGATATGAATAATTTAATTATAATCATGAAGTAAAGAGATTGAAAAGCTTATTTTATTATGTTTATTACTAATTATTATTATATTAAACATTAGAATTTACCAAAATGTCTAACAGGATGCAATAAAGCACAGTCTGCCAAAATTTAATTTATTGTTTGTTTTGTTTATTGTCTCTGTTATGTAAGATTAGGCTAAGATTTGATCCTGGATGTATAAGTTATTATATTAAAATGTTCTCTAAGTAATAGTGTAATTGTTACACCATCTTGTATATACCATATAGATTGATTATAATTAGACTTGTCATAAGTGTCTGTTATGGACCTATATGAATAATATTTTTTGAATTTTGAATTTTGAATTTTACTGTTTCACGCTAAAACTACTAAACGTATTTTGATGAAATTTAATAGTAATATTGCTTATACATCAGAGTAATACATAGGCTATATTTTATATTGAAATTTAACGCGGGAACCCCTGGGACAGCTAGTAATATTATAAACGCGAAAGTCTGTGAGTATGGATGTTTACTCTTCACGAAAAAACTATTGAACGGATTATGATAAAACTTTGCAGTAATATAGCTTGTAAATCAGAAGAACACATAGACTATAACTTAATAAGATATTATGTAAATTAAGCGAAATATAACGATAAATGTCATATAAGTGTGACGAACATGCGCGGGTCAGCTAGTATGAAATAATATCGAATTGTTCAATTTCTTTCAGGCTCATTCTCCTACGTGGACCCTCGCCAGAAGGTCCGCACTGTGGACTACATAGCAGACAAGGAAGGCTTCCACCCGATCCTGAACGATGCTCCTCCTGAACATCCAGCTGACTCTGAGTCTGTGGCGCAAGCTAAAGACAAACACTACCGGCTGTATGCTAAAATTGCTGAGGAGCATGCACACCAACCTCATCCATTGGGTAACGAAAATGATAATCAACATAAGCAAATTGACAAACAAAGTAATGGCCTACCAGGTGGAAAGTTAGAACTGTCGATTGTAATAATAATAATTCGTTTAAAAACTCACCATCATTGTCATTTCTTTCATAGAAGTCATTGTTTGGTGTCAAGTCTATCACCCTATCAAAGGAGATATGTAAAATACATATCATTACATAGTATAAAACAAAGTTACTGTCCTGTCTATCCGTCCTTATATATGCTTAAATCTTTAAAACCACGCAACGGACTTTGAAGCGGTTTTTTTTATTAGAGTGATTCAAGAGAAAGGTTTATCTAAATATATATAACTCAAAGGTGACTGACGTAGTGATCTATCAACGCACAGTGATGCGGCTCGAATGAATGCTCAGATGGTAGGTGATGTTGCGGCTCGAATGATAGATGGTAGGTGTTGATGGCTTCAGCAGATTACGGGGTGAATACATGATAGATTTTGCTTGATTTCTTGAATTTAATTGGTAAATAGTATTATAAATTACAAATTAGGATTAGTGAACAAATTGTACGTTACATCAATCGGTTGATATTTCAAGTCTGTTACGTTACGCAGCGAATTTAAAAATCATTCGATCGATATAATTATTATATATTATTATAATTAGTATATTAGTTCACTCCACCAAATTTGTAATTAATAGTATATTTACCATTAAATTTAAGATAGTAAGCAAATTCTATCATTTTCAACAACCCTGTAATCTGCTGAAGCCATCAAACCAACCATCTATCATTCGAGCCGCAACATCACCTACCATCTGAGCATTCAAGCCGCAACATCACCTACCATCAGAGCATTCAAGCCGCAACATCACCTACCACTATGCTAAATAGAATAGAAATACATTGTAAAACAATTACAGTATAATTGCCGCTTACTTTGTAACGAGTTTCTAAATGATAAAGTGTTAGTTATGACATTGTCGTGTCGATAATTGTATAGTTAATAACGTAATTACAATACGAACATACAATTTATAATTTACGACGCTCGCGTGTCACCTAACTTATTTTTTATTTAATAATACTAATAATAATAACTTAGGACAATTCAAACAGGCATTTCGACAATAAATATATTACTACGACAATAATTTATTCCCTTAGGGGTGGAATTTATCAAAATCCTTTCTTAGAGGATGTACGTCATAGTGGCTTTATGCATGCAAAGTCTCAGCCCGATCGGTTTAAAATTGACAAAGTTTCATAAAAACTTTCATCCCCCATTTTATCCCCTTGGGGGTGGAATTAATCAAAATCCTTTCTTAGCGGATGCCTATGTCATAACATCTACCTGCATGCCAAATTTCAGCCCGATCCGTCCAGTGGTTTGGGCTGTGCGTTGATAGATCGCTAAGTCAGTCACCTTTGAGTTATATGTATTTAGATTATTAGAGCAATACAAACAATTAGACTCATCACTCAGTAGGAATTGAACCCGCGACCATCGGAAGTAAGGCGGAAGTAAACCGCTAAACTACCGAGGCCTTCAAACATTACTTTGTTACTACTTGGAAATGCCATGTAATATTTAATGAGCAATTTGTAATGGATACTTTTCAATCAATACAATAGATCAAATGCATGATTCATTGACACTGTAATGAACATAATGATGAGATTAAACACCCGGAAACCATAAAACAAGAAGATAAAATTAATTTATTTAAAACAAGGCTTAAAGAACTACTGACCGACAAAACTTACTATACAATAAAAGATTTTTTAACAGACGTACTATAGGAGCTAACTGGACACTACAACAGATCTGAATTTTAAATTTCATTTTGGGAATGAGTCATCTACGAAATTGCCAACTCTTTAAACATGTGTTAGTCCATGTGTATTGTTGATTTATCATATGTAAATTTATGTATATGCATGTGCAATTATAAATAAATAAATATAAAAAAAAACTATTAAAATGTATAGAAATCAACCTTCTGGATTTGCCTGGAGTTTTTAGGGAGTATTTTGTATCCCATAGCATTGATAGTGTAAATTGAAATGTATATTATGTGATATTAGCTATGTTTATGAATATCAAGTTTTTTGTATTAATATTTTTCACTACCGTTCAGTTCAATATATAGATTCAATTGAGAAAAACTGGCAAATAGACAACTTAAACTCAACTAATTTTTATTTTTTTAAAAAGCCAGTTTATTTACTTATATGGATGTATATGTTTAACATTAAATGAAAACCAACTATCGCCATGTACGTTTGTCATTGTCATCATATTATATAGAGTAATTTTCCTAAATGTTATTTCTTGTATTCCCTTCAGGCGACTCAACTCCCCGCCAGTCAGCGGCTGTAGCGCTTGCGTCAGCGAAGCACGCCCAACTGTTCAAAGTAATAGCAGAGCAGCACGCCAGGATAGCAGCGGAACGAGAAGCGCTGCAGCGGGAAGAAGAGGAGAAACAAAACCTGCAGGAATTAGGACATTAGAACAATATTGCACTCCAAAGAAATTTCAAACCACATTCGACAATGCAACTCCCACTCTATTTCTAGAACATTCAATTAATTTTAGCGGGAAAGTGTAAATTCATCAGTAGCCGCCATCTTTATTCTTTTTTTTTATTTTAATAATTGGATATTTCTCTCTATTTCTGGAATATTCAGTTACTTTTGGCGGGAAAGTGTAAATTCATTAGCGCGGTAGCCGCCATCTTTATTCTTTTTAATATTTGGATATCTCTCTATTTCTGGAACATTTAATTACTTTTGGCGGGAAAGTGTAATTCATTAGCGCGGTAGCCGCCATCTTTATTCTTTTTTTAAATTTTAATGTTTTAAAACATATCTCTCCTTATATTTTATCAACTAGCTAGATCTCGTAGGAACTCTCCCTTATTAACAAAATTGCTTTTTTATTGCAATTAAATTGACACAAATGTTTTTAAAGATGGCGCTTCTGAAGTTCATTTAACCTCAAATATTTGGTTACTCGTGTATCTTCGAGGTTAGTATAAAAAAAATATATTTTGTAATATATTGCAATTTATTTGATGTATGTATGTAATATAAAAAGAATTTATATGGAGGTAGATGATGACGATTGAATGCAAATTTGAAAGCATAATGTAATAAGAGTGTTTTTAATTCTTGATTGATCATTTTTTTTAATAACACATGACTGTTTATCTTAGTACTTATGTCAAAAATATCACTATTGATTGGCATTGGCATCTACCTGCATGCCAAATTTCAGCCCGATCCGTCCAGTGGTTTGGGCTGTGCGTTGATAGATCACTATGTCACCTTTGAGTTGTATATATTTAGATTACAAACTATTGAAAGATACTGTAATTTAAGTTTAAAATATGGTATGGTTTTAGTTTTATTGAGTATCAAAATTTGAATTGTGCCAATATATATGAGAAGGGCTAGAGATCGTGCCCAGTGGTATGCCTTGGGAGAGGCCTTTGTCCAGCAGTGGACTGCAGTGGGCTGTTGATGATGTGCCAATATGAATTTTTGGATTCTATCCAAAATGTTTTCTTTTTCTTTATAACTACCTATATATTAGGCATTTAAGTATATTTTAGGTAAATACATGAATTTCAAGCACTCTTCCATGTAATGATTCCCATACAAAATTTACAATTATTTATATAGCAAAATGAGTTTAAAGATTTTGCACCTTTTTGATTTTTTGTTTCATTGCTGTGTCATGGTGAACAAAAAAAAAATTAAACAATTATCATTTAAGATATTTTTAAGTTTTTACGAGATCGAGGAACAGCAATTATATTTCTAAATATATATATACCACAGATGACATAATATGATATATATTTTATAATACAGTCTTCAATTTTTAATTAAACAGCTATACCTATATACAGTATATATACGTATGCAGCACATAGGCTATGGTAACCATTTACCATCAGATGGGCCGTATGCTTGATTGCCACCATCCTAGTATAAAAAAAGACTATAAAATTCTGATGTATAAGCTATATTATTGTAAAGTTTAATTATAGTTCTTATAAGCTACATTACTGTACAGTTACATCAAAATCAGTTCTGTACTTTTTGCCTAAAACAGTAACATACATGCATACAAACTCACAAACTTTCGCGTTTATAATATTAGTTAGGTGCAAAACAATCTTTGATAGTGATTTAATCATAATATTTGATATCTGTGATCAATCATCGGATTTTATTACACTTATTTTAATATAATTATTTAGCAAAGATAGATTATATTCGTATATTATCTGTAAGACTACTGTAAAATACTCTTTAAATTGTTATTTTCGACGTTAGCTAGTCTCAGTGACAATTTATTTTCTACTTTTGTAAATGAAATTAAATGATAAAAAATATTTTGTATTATTTATAAAATTGTACAAAATAATAAATATTTTTCTATTCTTGCTTTTTATTTTATTTTGTTACTAGCTACTCGCCCTGTACATGTATTATATATATGAACCTTCCTCTTGAATCACTCTATCTATTAAAACCGCTTCAAAATCCGTTGCGTAGTTTTAAAGATTTAAGCATACATAGGGACGGACAGACAGCGACAGCGACATTATTTTATACTATGTAATGATAATGTTACTAATATACTTGGACAACTTACACAGTGCCACCTATTCCCAAGCTAAGCAAAGTTTGTGTTATGGGTACTAGATATTTAATATACGTAGAAAACAGCCAGACATGAAACAATCAAACAAATCAATACAAATGTTTGTACGAGGAATCGATTATTATAATATATTGCGAGAGATGCTGGTAGATATTTATCACAGCAGAGCGCAGTGACAGGAGTGTATAAACCAAAATGTATATAAAGAAAATCATATTTTGATATGTATAAAATTTTATATATATAATAATAAACTTTATTCATAAATGCACGGTACAATTAAATATAGTTAGCCCTGGCTTTCGATTTAGGTGAAACCTGTGTCACGAAAGCCAGTTCCCTCCAACATTCTGTAAACATTTTTTGGTACATCTGCAGTTGTGTACATAAAGGAATACAAAAAAAAGAAAAAATGTATAAAGAGACGCTATTCTTTTTGACATACTAGATTGTACTGGACTTTTATTTAATACAGTGTACTGAGAAAAAAAAAAAAAATCAAAGCAATAAGTACTTATATATAAAATTCTCATGTCACAGTTTTTGTTCCCATACACCTCCGAAACGGCTTGACCGATTCTGATGAAATTTTGTGAGCGTATTGAGTAGGTCTGAGAATCGGCCAACATCTATTTTTCATCCCCCTAAATGTTAGGGGTAGTCCACCCCTATTTTTTTTTATTTTAAGGCAAAACAACGCTTTCCGGGACAGCTAGTAATATATAAAAGTAACGGTGATTCAAATTGTAGGTTTAACAGTTATAACCTTAATTATATATCGCTCATTATGTAGGATTATTTATATATATAAATAAAATTGGAGTGTCTGTTTTGTAATATCGAAATAACCGTCTTTTACTACATGCATATGAATATAAATACAGTACATATACCAAAACTACATTTTTTATCATTTTTATCTGTCTGTCTGTTTGTACCGTCTAATCTCTGAAATGGCTGGTTCGATTTTGACGGGACTTTTATTGGCAGGTAGGGGATGTAATAAGGAGTAACTTAGACTACTTTAATTTTAGAAAAATAAAGTTTATTTCCACGCGGACGATTTCGCTTGTATTGTAATAAATTAAATAACAGTTCCTTTGCTACCCAGTATTAAAGAACTAAATATAGTGTGTTAAGATTATATTACTAGGTGATATCCGCGACTTCAGGTATGTGCGCAGAGTTAGTAGTTCAACTACCATATTTTCTTCTCCTCGGTCCTATCTATCTTTATACCAAAATTCATCGAAATTGGTTCTGCTTCTTTTTCATAAATTATAGCATAAGTGTTCTTCTGATATGAGCTATATTGTTGTATAGTTTCATTAAAATCTATTAAGTAATTTTTACGTAAAAAAATCCATACACCCATACATACATTTTCGCTTTTACAAAATATAATATAAAACTCTCGTATCAGTGTTTGTAACAAACCTCCTCCGAAATGGCTTGACCGATTGTTATAATATTTTGCGTGTATATTCAGTAAATCTCAGAATATGCATAAACTATTTTCATACCCCGGGTTCGATTCTCGCCCGGTGCAAACATTTGTATTCATGAGTATGATTGTTTGGATCGGTCTAAGCGTTTTCTATGTATATTATTTGTGTATTTATAAAAAAAAAATAGTATCTATATCAGTTGTCTAGTACCCATAACACAAGCGCGTTACCGTGGGACTAGATGACGCTATAGGTTATTTATTTATTTGTTAATAAACAATGAAAACACATGTATAGTAATGAAATAAATGTTTATTGGTTCAATGTTGTTGGGTCATACGTCTAGCCGTAGTCCTTTGTTGCGTTCAACCAGTGCTGTCTGGAAAAAAAAAATATGTGAAAATATATTTATACTCATTTTAAACCCTTATTGATATTATAAATGCGAAAGTAAGTCTGTCTATCTGTCGCGATTTCACGCTAGAACTACTGAACCGATTTAAAATAAACTTTGATACACAGATAGTTTAGACCAGAACATTAAACGCTAGACACAGCTTTAGGTTGGCTGGAAGAGATCTCTTGCAGATAAGCCCACCCTTGCTCGAATATTTGTATAATTATCTATATTTATTAATATAACAAGTGCAATAAAGCATATTATATTATGGTGGCTGGTTCGATTCCTCACACGGCACAAATATTTGTATTCATGAGTATGTTTCAATCGGTCGGGTGTTTTCTATATATATAGTATGTATTTATATCAGTTGTTTAGTATCTAACACAAGCTCTAGCTGGACTTGGGTCTAGATGGCGCTGTTTGAATTGTCCTGATATTATTATGAAAAATCTTACTAGATGGCGCTGCCGTTGCTGGTGGTGCTGGTGGCTGCGATGGTGGCTGCGATGGTGGTTGCTGAGGTCTACCACCCCCTCCTCCATTACATCCAGCTCGCTTTGCACCTTCTTTCAGAGCAGCTGGCTTATCACCCACGGACATGCCGCTCTATATATATATAAAATATATAGTCCAATATTATTAAAAGAAATAAAATAGAAATAATCTTTATTCAATCAATTCAATCTTTTGAATAGTCACATTTTTTATTCTATCACACATTCGGAACGCAGAGTCATCACAAAGTGAGGAACTTTTTTTTTTTTATTGGGTTGTTTGGGCTATTGTCAGATGTGTAGCACCTGTAGCACTGCGACCTACATAGATCTATTGTGCTCGCCCTTTTCAGAGTTCGCTACCTAGACCCGTCAGGGACAAGAATTGAAGGATATTCTTAGGAGCAATCGTTTTTATCTCCTCGGGAAAGAGTGTAAACTTTCCAAAGGAGATATTTCGTTTATGCATGAGTGGGCTACAACCACATAGGATGTGAAGCGGCGTTTCCTCTTCAGTTTGGCAGAATCTGCAGATACTTGTCGTGCATAGGCCTAGCTTAGCCATATGCGTGTTCAATTTGCAGTGTCCTGTGAGGGCCCTAGTCATCATGCATATGTTGTTTTTACTCAATTGCAGTAATCTATTGGAGTATTTGGTCGAGAAGCCCGATATAAGGTCTTTTGAATGTATTAATCCTGGCATTTCTTGCCAGTGATTCAGTGCTTCTCGTTTGGTTATTAATTTGAGATGTCCCAGTTTTAGGCAACGAGGCACACCACAGAAGGGTGAGGAACTTGCGTGTTGCTCTTTTAAAATCTAAATATATATAACTCAAAGATGACTGACATAGTGATCTATAAACGCACAGCCCAAACCACTGGACGGATCGGGCTGAAATTTTGGATGCAGTTATGACGTAGGCATCCGCTAAGAAAGGATTTTGATTAATTCTATCCCCAAGGGGATAAAATAGGGGATGAAAGTTTGTATGAAACTTTGTCAATTTTAAACCAATCGGGCTGAGACTTTGCATGCATAAAGCTACTATGACGTAGGCATCTCCTAAGAAAGGATTTTGATAAATTCCACCTCTAAGGGGATAAGTTAACACGAGCGAAGCCGCGGGCAAAAGCTAGTGTAAATATATTTGGTGGTTATTCATAAACCGTCATATGAAGTAAAATAGAAATAGTAATCTTTATTAAAACAAACTTAATATAAACCTTTTTGAATAGTCATAGTATCATACAGAACGCAGACTCATCACTAGGAGAACGAGAAAGAGACTTGCGTGTTGCTCTTTGAAAATGTAAAGTATTTTTTACATTTTCAAAGAACAATTTTAGTCGGTAAGTACTCAGAAACATACAATTACAATACACTTAAAATTAACAAAAACAATAAAACACACACAAAACAAAACAAAAACAAACATTAAGAAGAATTACCAAATAAATATTTTGATATACTTATACAAATTTCGTGTCACATGTTTGTTCGCGATGGAATCATAAAGTACTGAACCGATTTTGGTGTAATTTTATACGTATACTTAGCAGCTCTGAGAATAGACTAATAGAGAATATATAGAAATTTCATTTCATTTCACATGTTTGTCCGTGATGGAATCATAAAGTACTGAACCAATTTTGGTGTAATTTTATACGTATACTTAGCAGCTCTGAGAAAATATATATTCTCTATTCTCAGTCTATCTGAGAATAGAGAATATATATTTTCTATATCCTTAAGTGTAAGGGTGGCAAAAAATATACGAAGTGTTAAAGGCGAGCCACCCAAAAAAATATCTCTATTTATTACATACATTTTTTTTTAAAGTACTTAATACATTTGTTTATTTTATTTTTTCGAAACACTTCTTTTGAAAAAATAAAATAAGCACTTTATAAAGAATAGAAAATCATTCATTCAAATAAACTCACATTGAAGCACTTTTGACTAGTCATCAAATTTTTTTAATCTACCGCTCATAAAATTGTCGAAAAACTTTAAGCTCAAAAAACTTAAAAAAAAATGTCGAATAAATAAAGATGTTTTTTTTAGGTGGCCCGGCCCGCCTTTAGTTTCAATGGCAACTAAATGTACTTTCCCAAGAATGTAGCGACAACTTTTGCGCATTCTGTCGCATTTTTTAGATCTTTATGCCCAACATCATTGTGTACAAACGACAGGTCAACAGATCGGCCATAGTCTGGGATGGCGCTCCGCAGTCACAAGCCTCCCTTGAAGCGACACCCCATTTTACCAAGTTGTACCTGCAGCGACTGATCTGAGTTAGGAGTCTATTAAGCGATTTCCAAGTGGGCCATTTCAGGTCGCTACCTGCAACCTGCAATGGTCCAATTCGGATGCAAGCAGGGGCGGATCTACCCAAGGCACCACCCCACAACCAGGCCCCTGGAGGCGCGCGCGTGTACCCACGCGCCTCCACGAGAAGGTAGGATGCAAGTCATAGCACCCTAACCAGAGAGAGGGGGCCTGTCCTACAACATCTACAGGACAGGCCAAGCCGCCGAAGTCTGGGTTGAGTGCCAAGTGCGAACCCCGGACTTCGGCCCGCGGCACCTCGAGGTATACCGTGTGGTTTTTTAGTGGGTACGAGTCCCACACACCACCTCGCCATCCCTCCGGCGGGGTGACGGTCTTGTTGAACATTTTTCCACACGATAAAAAAATAGGGGGCGGATCTACCCAAGGGCTTTTTGGGCTGCAACCCGATGCAACGATATTTAGAATATAAAAAAATATCTAGTGTTCGGACATCGTTGGCTCGCCGGACAGGAGTCCACGTGCAATGCTGCGGGGCGCGGCTCGAGGGGGGTGCGAATAGCACCGCACCGACCTGCCCTCAGTTCTGATCTCGCCACCGAATTACTACAAGAGCGCTCAATATTCTATCTCTTTCTCTGTATTTTTTATATTTAAATTATTATACGAAATTACAGTCCATAATCAACCTTTAATTTAAAAGTCAAAAGTAGGACCCTACTTTAATGGTCCTTCGAGCCGGAATGTTGAAAAACCTATCATAACACAACCCTGAGATCAGGGGGGAAGGGATTGTTAGTAATGTGGACTGATGACCCCATTAGTAACAATGTACCATGTCAGATCGACCTCCACGTGGTTTCCCCTGGAAACCATCGTGATAAATTCCTGGTGAATTTGTCACGATGTGCTAACTGACCTGACCTCATGCTCATCTTATCATCCCCCACTGGTGCCCCGCCAGCGTAAACCGTTAGCGCAGGCGGGTGCACCATTCCATTATAATCCATAAAAAAAAACCCTGACATCAATCAACACATGCATGCGCGCCTCTATCGGGAATTTCTGGTCGGTTCTTTTTGGTCGGTGTATTTTTTTATTTGAGTAATACAATTAGATAGGCTCCTAAGTAGATTCGGTCCAGGGCCCCACAAATTCACGATCCACCCCTGGATGCAAGATAGAAGCCTCTCCGCGGTGCACCTGGAAACGGCTAGACATAATATCGCAGCATCTAGGCTAGCCAATCCTCTCACCACAATAGCAACTTAAACTTTTCAAAACTGTTTTTATTTCTCATTAAATTGAAAAATATTTCTATTACTTACCACAACTGCAAACACAATGGCTAAAATAGCCAACACGTATGCCAAAACCTTCATGTTAGTACTACTGTATTACTCGTATGTTACTAAGCAACTGATAAATATAAAATAGGTCCTGTATTATATAGTGTAAGTACAGGAAATATAACAATTGTCGATGTACCAGTGGAAATATTGAGTGTTACAGCCATTATAAATAATGAGATAATATTACACCTATAAATAATATATTTTTTTTATATAATATACATGTACATATATACATATTTATATTGACGTATTTTAGTTAACTATCTAAGATAGTCGGTGTTGAGAAACTCTTTTGATATTCATATATTAGTATCTGTTTTTTGGACATTATATTTTTTTGTTTAGTTTTAATTATTTATGACATTTTTTTTTATTTATTATTTGCACATTTTGACCCACTCAACACTTCCTTATGCCATCTTATATATAAAATTCTCGTGTCACAGTTTTCGTTCCCATACTCCTCCGAAACGGCTTGACCGATTCTCATGAAATTTTGTGAGCGTATTGAGTAGGTCTGAGAATCGGCCAACATCTATTTTTCATCCCCCTAAATGTTAGGGGTAGTTCACCCCTAATTTTATTTTTATTTTAAGGCAAAACAACGTTTGCTGGGACAGCTAGTATATATATAAATCTTATAATTTATCTTTATGTACCTATATTATATTAGTATCTGTATTTTGGACATTGGACCACTCAACACTTCCTATGCCACGCTCTATTGGGTTGACTGGAAGAGATTTCTTTTAGAGATAAGTCCTCCTTTGTGAACATTAGTTCTAATTAATATACTTACAAATGTATTTAAGTGCAATAAAGAATATCTATATATTTAAAGTTTATTTTTGTATTCTATAATCAAAAATATAAAATCAAAATTATATATATATTTTTTAATAATAATAAACTCTATTCATAAAGGCACGGTACAATTAAATATAGACTGGCTTTCGATATACGTGTGCCACAAGCCAGTTCCCACCAACATTCTGTGAAATGAGAAAAAAAACTTAAATACTTTTGAATACAAAAAATATGTTTAAAAGAGACACTATTCTTTTTGACATACTAGATTGTACTGAACTTTAATTTAACATAGTGTAGAGAGAAAACAAAAAATCAAAGTAATACGTATACAAGAAAAATGAGGAAAAACAAAAAAAAAAATTAGTGTCCATGTGTTTGATTAGGAGTATGTGTATGTGTAAAGTACACCTGATACGATCACTGGTTTTCTCCATCGCGCTATATGGTGCAGAGACATGGACCCTCAAAGCCTCTGATAGGCAAAGAGTTGATGCCTTTAAAATGTGGTGCTGGCGTCGAATATTGAGGATACCGTGGACAGCCCACCGTACAAACGTCTCTGTACTAAAAGAGCTCAAATTGGAAGATTCACAGCGGCTGTCTTCTACTTGTTTCTGCAGCGCATTGTGCGATACTTCGGACACATCGCGATGTAGACAATATGGAGAGACTGATGGTAACAGGGTAAATAGAAGGTAAAAGACGTCGAGGCCGAAGTCCCATCCGATGGTCAGATCAAATATCACGTCAACTGAACATTACTGTCAGCAGGCATCTGAGCGCAGCAGATGGCGCCGGCTAGTCGACAAGATAGTATAGAGTCACGATCCTCAGCAGTGAGGGAACGATTAAGAAGAGAAGAATGTGACAATTACCCACATACCCATCTCGGGTATGTGGGTAATTGTCACTTCACTCTCTACCATCTGATAAATTGTGTATTAAATAGCGGACTCTATTTTGATAGGTCTTGGTATTTGGCATGGGATTTTAGTAAAAGATGAATCGTTAATTGCACGGCGTGTATTTCAGTAGCATACTATATAGTTGTCACTGTTTGGGAAACCACGCTCTGCTACCAAAATGTTAGGGAATTTACTCTCTGTATATATATAGGGAAAAATAAGTGGAAGCGTCAGTCACGTACCTGTATGGTTCTGCGGATTTCTTGGGCTTCAGGGTCTCGAAGATATCTTCGCTAGCTTTCCAGTTTCACAGTAGGTTTCACAGTAGGTTTCACAGTTCTAATTTATTTTAATTCACAACACAATGCGCGCGCGTCATGGCCGCCGTACAGTCGGTTCAGTACTAGGTAAGGGAGGGGAGGCAAAGGCGCGGGAACAGAAAACTAACGGACTCTAATATAATAATCTGTGCTTACGATGTTACAGGGTAGATTTTGAACAGTGACAAAAAAAGATAAGGAAATTACTTTGTACAATGTTACCATCAATACAAAAGTGTTGCTCACTACTATTATTGAATTTGCCTAATTTACAATATGGTAAATATTTTATGTATTTAACACCATCTTACAATAATTTTTTCCAGTCATAAATAGTTTTACTACATATTTCTACAACAGTCTGGCGCCTTTTACCATCACACCGCTCGCCATCGACAGGGAATTCGTCCCCACACGTTGGAACCTAAGTGGTCTCGGACAGTGCGGTTTCAGAGGAGCTTTCTCCTGCGTACACTTACATTGTGGAATGAACTACCTGCCGAGGTTTTCTCGAGAGACTACAGTGTGGGGTTTTAACGAAAGGTATATGAAGGATTTTTAAGGGCAACGCGTACATAACTTCCCTGTTGTCTCTGGTACGGTAGGTAAGGTACGGTAATCATTTACCATCAGATAGGCCGTATGCTTGTTTGCCATAAAAAAAGACAACTAATATAAATAGTTACATGGGAAATATCCAGACCGATACAAATAATCACACTAATGAATACAAATGTTTGTAGCGATGAATCGAAACCACGACTTCGGAAGTAAGCATTTTTTTTTTATAACACAGGGGACAAACGAGCATGCGGCTCACCTGATGATAAGTGATTACCGCCGCCCATGAGCACCCGCAACACCAGGGGAATTGCAAGTACGTTGTCGGCCTTTTAAAAAGGAATAAGCTCTTTTCTTGAAGGTTTCAATGTCGTATCGGTTTGGAAATACCATTGCTGGAAAGTGATTCCACAATGTGGTTGTGCGAGGCAAAAAGTTTCTAGAAAACCGCACTGTGGAAGACCGCCATTCATTCAGATGATCAGGATGGTATTTCAGTTTCTGGCGGGTGGTGCGGTGGTGAAACTCAGCAGCTGGTATTAATCCGAACAATTCCTCAGAACACTCCCCGTGATATATGCGGTAGAAAATGCACAGAGATGCAATATCACGCCGCAAAGCCAATGGGTCGAGTCTATCACATAGACGTTGATTACCAATGATTCTGGCTGCTCGGTTCTGAATGCGGTCAAATGTTTGTATCGGTCTGGGTGCTTTCTATGCATATTATGTATGTATTTACAAAACAATATCTAAAGTAGTATCAATTGTGTAGTACCCATAACACAAGCCCTGCTTACCGTGGGACTAGATGACGCTGTATCAATTGTCCATGGTTATTTATATTTATATATAAGCTACTCTCCCCGACTTTGTCCGGGTGTACATGTATATATAGAGCAAGAGCCCACGACGGCCAGACATACGTCATTTTAGTAAACGTGAAAGTTCTTGTATGTGTGTCCCCAACACAGGTAAGAACGATCCCCAAACATGAAACCTGGATCGTGGTTCCTTTGGCAGGTAACAGGTAACAAAGGTGTAAAAATTTTCATATCCAATTCGTTATTTTAAGAAACTCCAATTTTTCATATATTATTCGTAGTAGTATTATAACTTGCGCTGCTCATTGCCAGACACTTAGTGTGGTTCCAACCCCCCGCCGGACCCCCCTAAACTATACTATTTTATAAATAAACTTACGTTATTTTAATAGAAATTGTATACACCGCTATTACCGAATATACGGTTTCAATGAGTCTGGTAGGATAAGGAACCAAGAAAACTGTCTGGCAATTTAGGAAACTCAGTTTAATAGTTCTCTCAATAATATATATAAAGTTCAGCTTTATTAAAATGACGTAAGTTTATTTCTAAAATAGTATAGTTTAGGGGGGTCCGGCGGAGGGTTGGAACCACACTAAGTGTCTGGCAATGAGCAGCGCAAGTTATAATAATGCTACGAACAATATATGAAAATATGGAGTTTCTTAAAATAACGAATTTGATATGATTTTTTTTACACCTTTGTTACCTGGTACCTGCCAAAGGAACCACGATCCAGATTTCATGTTTGGGGATCGTTCTTACCTGTGTTGGGGACACACATACAACAACTTTCACGTTTACTAAAATGACGTATGTCTGGCAGTCGTGGTCTCTTGGGCTAATATATAACATTTTGAATCGGTCTATCTATTAAAAAAAACTTTTAGACTTTGTTGTATACTATGTAATGATGATATATTGTTAAGATAGTAGTTCAATCTATATCTAATTTCTTGAAGCTACCCTGTATACTGAATAAATCTTCAACTGTGGTCGCTTTGCCACTAGGCCGTAGACTCTGATTGACTCTCCGTAGAGCTTCCTCATCAAAGAATTTCTGGTTGGCTTTCAGGCGAATGAGCAGCTCATCTAAACATATAATAATACATATAAATAAAATTGGAGTGTCTGTTTGTAATATTGAAATAACCGTTTTTTACTACATGCATATGAATATAAATACGGTACATACACCAAAATAACATTTTTTACAATTTTTGTCTGTCTGTATGTCTGTTCCGGCTAATCTCTGAAATGGCTGGACCGATTAGGAGTAACTTAGGCTACTTTTATTTTAGAAAAATAAAGTTAAATTCTTCGCAGACGAAGTCGCGGGAACAGCTAGCCTTTACATATAAATAAAATTGGAGTGTCAGTTTGTAATATTGAAATAACCGTTTTTTACTAGGTACATAGGTGCATATGAATATACATACACCAAAATAACATTTTTTACAATTTTTGTCTGTCTGTTTGTTCCGGCTAATCTCTGAAATGGCTGGACCGAATTTGACGGAACATTTTTTGGCAGGTAGCTGATGTAGTAAGTAAGTAAGTATCTACTTTTATTTTAGAAAAATATATAAAGTTAAATTCCACGTGGACGAAGTAGCGGGAACAAGTCGGAATAAATATAAAACATAAATTAAAGGCACGAAGTATAAGTTCTCTGAAATGGCAACACCTGAGTAGTATTAGGCATCACATGATAACGTGATAATCATAGTATCATCTTATTATTTACTATTCAATGTACTATTTTTTTATTACTACCATGGTGGTAAATAAGCATACGGCCCATCCGATGATAAACTACGCCTATTTACGCCTGAAACACTAGAAGTGTCATGTGCCAACCCTTAAGACACCTTCATATTACTATTCAATATGCCATTTTTTTTATTAACCGGCGGCAAAGATGCATACGGCCCATCTGATGATAAGCCGTAGACTATAGACGCTTGAAACACCAGGGGTGTCACGTGCGCGTTGCTAACCCTTAAGATACCCTTCTTGAAAAACCCCATACTCTAACCTGTAGAGAAAACCTCGACAGTAGCCTAAGTATACTCGGGAGAAGCTCCCGTTTCAATTCACCATCATCATCATCACTGCAGTCCGGAAGACGTCCGCTGGACATAGTCCTCCCCCAAAGATCCCGTTTCAATTATATAATAAAAAACTTACTTTTGATGGTCTCATAATCCTTATAGTCTCCTCCGATGTTCTTGGGCATTGCCTTCTTCGGGACGTACTTGTAGAGCGTGTCAGACCCGACCTGATGGATGTGCACCATATCCGCCAGGGCCTTGCTCATGAAGGGCTTCAGCATCATCATGAGTTTGTCCATAAACGATGGTGCGTTAAGGAAGTGCACGCTTTTCAATTTCACCAACATGGCTTCCTGTGACGTCAAGCAAGATCTCTATTAACCTTTATGCTCAATTAGTTTCGGTATGTTATCAGTGTTTCCATCACCAGAGAGTCAGTCAGAGATGTAACCTGACAGACAATGTTTACTGGTCCTCCATTAGTTTCGGCACAGATAACATAATATTACATAGTTTCAGTATATTATCAGTGTTTAAATCACAAGAGAGTCAGTCAGAGATGTAACCAGGTAGACAACGTTACATAGTATAAAATAAAGTCGCTGTCGCTGTCTGTCCCTATGTATGCTTAAATATTTAAAACTACGCAACGGATTTTGAAGCGATTTTTTTAATAGATAAAGTGATTCAAGAGGAAGGTTTATATATATGATACATGTATACCCGTGCAAAGCCGGGGCTACTAGCTAGTTGACAATAAAACTCACTTGCAAAAAATACAACACTATTCGTATATGCATCAGTTCCAGTCTCGCCAAGTGTCCAATAACAGCCTGGTCCATATCTATTAATATAATAAACCTGAGGACAAATTAATATAATAAATAAGGTTGAAATTGTACTATTTATCGACCTTAGTATGATTAGTTTCATCATGTATTTTATTATTTGTATTTTGTGTAATATATGTAGATATCTATAGTAATTGTATATGTATGTATATATATATATAACTTTTATTAATGTTTATTTTATTTATTATTGTATATTTTATTATAATTATAATATAATTAGAACTTTATTTAATATGTTGAATTTTAAATATTTTATTTTTCTCAACTTTTGGAGGATTCAACATAATAGTGTTAATTGCACAGGTGTTACCTACTCAGTACTAGCTATGTCACATTGTTGGGTTGACTGGTAGAAATCTCTCTTAGAGATAAGTCCACCTTTGCTCACTCTGTATATGTTTAACTTTAGAACTGTATTTAAAAGTGTAATAAAGAATATATAAATAAATGTAAACAAAATGTTACAAGAATATTATTTATGTTTTATACGTATAACTAACTTTTGCCCGCGGCTTCGCTCGCGTTAAGAAGTATTATTATTAAGTATAGTTTCTGCGGCTTTACAGTACTTTCATACAAACTTTCATCCCCTTGGGGGTAGAATTAATCAAAATCCTTTCTTAGCGGATGCCTACGTCATAACATTTACCTGCATGCCAAATTTCAGCCCGATCAGTCGAGTGGTTTGGGCTGTGCGTTGATAGATCACCATGTCAATCAGTCACCTTTGAGTTATATATATTTAGATTAGTAAAAATCACGGGATCTTACCACGTTTTATATTTATTTGATAGAGGATGTAAGTTTGTTTAGACTAAATCGCATGTGACAGCTATTATATCAGTAGTACTACTTTTTTCTTTTTATCCTCATATTCGTCCATCTCCTTTTTAATGATGGAACAGGCAAAGATCCAAAGACCGTACAGCCTTATCTACTTTTAGATACCTTCATATTTCTACATTTAATGCCTAAAGGCCAATGCTTATGTAAAATTATTAATTATAATTTCATTATTGCTTTCATTCAAAATTATCTTATCCTTGCATTAAATATTTACCAGTAGCTATTATACAGTAACATTCAAAATTTATTCAATAATTTGCATGTCCATAAATTGGGGCAATTAAACAGTTGCCAATAATATTATTATCTGGACATATTACCTAATATCTAACTGTATCATTAGATATATAGTATAAAACAAAGTCGCTGTTCTCTATGTATGCTTAAATCTTTAAAACTACGCAACGGATTTTGAAGCCGTTTTTTTAATAGATGGAGTGATTCAAGAGGAAGGTTTATATATATAATAGATGTACACCCGTGCAAAGCCGGGGCGAGTAGCAAGTCATATATATAATACGTAAATAAAATTTCATTTCATTTCATTTCAATAATAAAACTTTTCATCGTGCACTCACCCCGGCCACGTGCCTTCCTCGAGCTGCCATAGTTCGAACATCATCATGAACACTCGTACTGAGTCGGCGAACATAAAATTCTTAGGGTCCGTATCCAGTAGTCTCATGTACGCTGCACGGTACCCCTCCGGTGTCGGTGTAGGTAGAGCAGCAAACAGACTAAAAGTAACAAGATTCATTCATTAAACCAATTCCAAATTCCTCTTATTAGAAAAAAATAGTATAGTGGACCCGCGGTAATCCGGCCCCTCTTGTAATCCGACATTGTCTATTATTTGTTATTGAATATTACTTTGACAATATACTTCAGAGTGCATATACATACATAGATATATAACATAGAATCTTATCACTGGATCTGTAATTTGTCGGATTACAAGATACTCTTTTGTAAAAAATTCCGGACTATAAGCAGGGGACCTTTAAGCAGCACTCTATAATCCGACAAATACCAGGGTCCGACACTTCCCTGCAAAACGTATGTCGGATAAACGGGGGTCCACTGTATATGTATATAATATAAAGAATCATCATGGGATCTATAATTTGTCGGATTACAAGGTACTCTTTTGTAAAAAAAATCGGACTATAAGGGGTCTTAGGCAGTACTCTATAATCCGACAAATTCGATAGTCCGACACTGCCCTGCAAAATGATTGTCGGACTACCCCCCCGGTAGTCCACTGTAATAAGTATAATATCAGTAGTATAAAAAATGTAATAGAAAGTAAGTAATATAAGTATAATATAAGGTTAAGAATGGTAAAATGTAAACACCAACATAATATAAATATTCCTTAGAAATGTAAATCCCTAAAATTAAGTACTCTTCTAGGTTTTAGTGTAACAATAACTATAGCTATGTGTCCAATAAAACTATGAAAAAAACCTGGAATTTCAAATCCGGGCATAAAAAAATCCTCTTAGTAATTGTTTAACCAGTTGTTGTGCATTAAATATTTTTTCTATTTGATTATTTAATTGAATTAGTGCTAATCGGTAGTTTATATTCACATACTTAAACTTAAATTGTAAGTAAGTAAGAATAAAATTATTTAAAAGAGCAACACACAAGTTTCTTGCTCGTTCTTCTTGTGATGAGACATCTTTCCGAATGAGCGGTAGATTAAAAAAAATTGCCAGAAAAAAATTCAAATGTGTCATAAAATATTTTCTTTGTAAAAAAACTTATTATAAAATTGAAGAATTTATAAATGATAATAATGTTTTTGTAGAAAATATCTAACTTAAAATTCATAGCGCTAACAATGTTATCTGATTGATGTGCCTAATCCTTGTTGTTAATTAAATATAAGTAAATCAATATTTATTTAAAAGAGCAACACACAAGTTTCTTGCTTATTCTTTTTGTGATGAAACTGCATTCCGAATAAGCGGTAGAATAGTGCCTACATATATTAAGTTTATTTGAATAAAGATTATTTCTATTTCTATTTCTTAGTTACTAGCTGTCCCCGCGACTTCGTCCGCGTGGAATTTAACTTTATAACAGTGAAAAGTGTGTTTATCGATTAATGTATATATATAAACGATGTTTACAACAGTTTGTAAACATGTACAACGTTTATTTGAAAAGAATACGAGCTGAGTTTCTTGTCAGTTCATATCATCTAGAAATCATTCCGAACTGACGATAGATTTGATATATCATAAGAGTCTGTAATAGACCTACATGAATACAGATATTTGAATTTTTACAAGTTGCCATCAGATGTCCTGACTTTGCTATTCAATTTACATAAAGAAACGAAGTCACTTGCATTTTATCTATTGTGAACTCCATTTTCTTATCTATCCTTCTGTCCTTGAAGAACGTAGTGAATAGTGTTTTCAGGGTGTAGTGTAGATCTAACACTTGCTTCGAAACCTCCTGGCTTTTCTCGCAGCAATGGAATATAATAAATAGATCCAGATCTGAAAAAAAAAACACTAAATGTGATTGATATCTTATATATAAAATTCTCGTGTCACAGTTTTCGTTCGCATACTCCTCCGAAACGGCTTGACCGATTCTCATGAAATTTTGTGAGCGTATTGAGTAGGTCTGAGAATCGGCCAACATCTATTTTTCATCCCACTAAATGTTAGGGGTAGTCCACCCCTAATTTTTTTTTTATTGTATGGCAAAACAACGTTTGCCGGGACAGCTAGTGTATTATAATATTTATTAATTGTACATAGTGATATTCTATTTGTGTATTTAGAACTCTTGCATTACCATTATCCGCTAAATATGTCCAATATCACAGCGTTAGGTTGGCTGGAAGAGATCTATTTCAGAGATAAGTTCACTATTGCTCACATTTTTATTCATAAATATGTTGTTTCTTACTATATACATATATAATTGCAATAAAGAATATATAATATGTTTTTTTCATATGCATTTAGTGAAAATCTCTTCATTTCAAGTTACAAATACACAGTTCCATTTTATTGATTAACTAGCTTTGGCCGCGGCTTCGCTCGCGTTAATTTATCCCCTTAGGGGTGGAATTTACCAAAATCCTTTCTTGGGGGATGCCTACGTCCTAGTAGCTTTATGCATGCAAAGTCTCAGCCCGATAAAATTGACAAAGTTTCACTTTTATTTTATTTAGGGTAGAATTAATCGAAATCCTTTCTTAGCAAATGCCTACGTCATAACATCTACCTGCATGCCAAATTTCAGCCCGATCCGTCCAGTAGTTTGGGCTGTGCGTTGATAGATCACTATGTCAGTCACCTTTGAGTTATATATATTGATTAATAATTAATATAGGTTTCTGTTCCATTACAAACAGAGTACAAATGTATATATCATGCGAGAAATCGAACCCGCGACCGTTGAAAGTAAGGCGGTGTGTTAAAGCGTCACACTATCGAGACCGTCAAAGAAACAGTTCTTGTATATTTCCAAGAGTTATTTTTTTTTTGGACAATTCACACAGCGCCGTCTTGACCCAAGTTAAGCTAGCTAAAGCTTGTGTTATGGGTACTAGACAACTGATACAAATACATAGTTTTTTTTTTCGTAAATACATACATATTATGCATAGAAAACACCCAGACCGACACAAACAATTATACTCATGAATACAAATGTTTGTGCCGTGCGAGGAATCGAACCCGCGACCATCGGACGTAAAGCGGTGTGCTAAACCACTAGACCACCGAGGTTTCAAAGTAATAATATGATTAATAACAGGTACGGACAAGGATCCCGGATGGAACGGATACAGTGTTGCAATATCACGTTATTAAATTACTACAGTTAAATATAGAGTAGAAACGATTGAACATGCAAAGACAATAGTAATGGGGCAGTTAATTTGTATTTTTTATCAAGGCGTAACTGTGTTGTTGTATCTCCCGGTTCAACTTTTCAACCATAAGGATCAGCTGTTTTTGAGATTAGCAAGAACAAACAGTCAGTTTTAACAAACAGTCACTTTTACTCGCTGTGAACGATATAAATACGATACTTACACCAAAATAACATTTTTTACAATTTTTGTCTATCTGTTTGTTTGTTCCGGCTAATCTCTGAAATAGCTGGACCGATTTTGATGGGACTTTTCTTGGCAGGTAGCTGATGTCATAAGAACTAACTTAAACTACTTTATTAAAAAAAAATATTTATTTCGATTCAAAAAAAAGTTAAATGCGACTCAGAAGCCGTAGGTAACAGGTATAAGGTATCCACGTTACCTGTGAATTTATCTCCAGGCAAGTGGGGCTGTGTCTTCAGCCACTCTCTAAGTTTCTTAATATCCTCGGGCGATATATCTGGATTTTTCTCGTACTCCTTCTCTATAGGCTTCTGTTGGACAACTCCTGCCATCTTCTCTTCTAGAATAACAATAAATAATAGTTAAATAGGTTTTAATATGAATAAGTTTATGCTACACTAGCTTTTGCCTGCGGCTTCGCTCGCATTAATTTAACCCCTTAGGGGTGGAATTAATCAAAATCCTTTCTTAGCGGATGCCTACGTCATAACATCTATCTGCATGCTAAATTTCAACCCGATCCGTCCAGTGGTTTGGGCTGTGCGTTGATAAATCACTGTGTCAGTCACCTTTGAGTTATATATATTTCGATAAAGTTTTACTTCTTTCGACATTTCGACAGTCAGCACCTGACTACGGCTACTACAAAAATCAAAACGTCGAGAGAGGGCTGACGGAAATCCATATCTATACATATAAATAAAATTGGAGTGTCTGTTTGTAATATTGAAATAACCGTTTTTTACTACATGCATATGAATATAAATACGGTAGATACACCAAAATAAGATTTTTTCCAATTTTTGTCTGCCTGTCTGTCTGGAACCATTTTGACGGGATTTTTTTTGACAGGTAGCTGATATAATAAGGAGTAACTTAGGCTACTTTTATTTTAGAAAAATAAAGTTTAATTCCACGCGAACGAAGTCGCGGGTACAGCTAATATGTACTATAAATAAACTTTTATATATTTAATAAATATTTGTTTGGTATTATATATTAATACCAATCGGAATTTCTCAAGAGCATGATCCAATCATTCATCATTTTGAGAAACATATTGAGAAACATAAACCCAACAGAAGCTGTTTACTAAGGAATTGAAGAATGTGAAGAAATGAATGAAGAATTGAATTTAATTCAAAATTTGAATTTTGAATTTTGAAGGGCAATTTTACTATTAATGTAGGCACCATTACCACCGGCACGGGCCACGGGTGCCGGGCAATTAGATCATATACCAAGAATACCATTGATCACAACTGATCTGCCAATACCATTTAAACGACTGCAATTTCCTGTTAAAATATCTTCTATGTAATACACCTGTATATGTTTTGATGTACAGAAACTACGCGGATTTTTATGCGTTTTTTTTTACTCAAGAAGAAGGTTTAGGATATATACTGTCCCACAACTGAACACAGATCTTTAAATGAGCGATAAGTTTTATATTCTATGCCCATGCGGGCCAAGCCGGGTCTGGATAGCTAGCTTTTTATATATTTGTGTATATACAAAAAAAACATATATTTAAATATTTATACCAGTTATCTAGTACCGACAATACAAGCTTTACTTAGCTTAGAACTAGATGGCGCTGAGTGAATTGTCCTCTTTTATTACTATGATTATTAACCTTATTACAATGATTACGGGTTCGATCCCTTGCACGGTACAAACTTGTATTCATGAATATGATTATTTATATGATATATTTTATATTTACAAAAATATATATATTTAAATATTTATACCAGTTATCCAGTAGCCACAACACAAGCTTTGCTTAGCTTAGAACTAGATGGCGCTATATGTCGTCGATTGCTATTACTATATATTATATAATCATAAAATTAAATATTACATCAAATCGCTCCCGAGTACCCGATGTTAGAAATTATAATGAATAAAACTCATATAATAACATATATAATATGTATTATATATTTTGACGCTTCGCTTGTCATCTCAGGGTCGTGTCTCATTTAAATATAGTGATGTAGTGGAAATAATGACGGACATTTTACTTCAATCACCAATCATTATCTCTACTCACATATAGGTACATCAAATAGAAAGATTATTAGTAATTGAAAATTATTAATATTTTTTGTTCAGCAGTCAGACAGACCGATACTGTAATACTAGTATATTATACTCGCCCCGGCTTTGCCCGGGTGTACATGTATTATACATATAAGCCCTTCTCTAGAATCACTCTATTTATTAAAAAAACCACTTCAAAATCCGTTGCGTAGTCTTAAAGATTTAAGCATATACAGTGACGGACAGACAGTGACAGCGGCTTTGTTTTATACTAGCTACTCGCCCTGGCTTCGCACGGATATTATACATTTAATTATATTCCTCTTGAATCACTCTATCTATTGCTAAAAACTGCATTAAAATACGTTTCGTGGTTTAAAAGATCTAAGTGAACAGACTGCGGAAGTGTCTTGATATATGACAGAAATATAAAAAAACATAGTGCAGAGTCGATATATCAGATAAAGATTTTATTATCGTTTGTTGTCTGTTGGTCGCAGCTGGCCTTTACAGCTTCATCGGACGATAGGGGGTGAGTGCAGGTGGCACTCCAAACCAAGGAAGAACTTATGGAACGGCTAACGGCCAACTCCCGCCTGACGGATACGACTCTAGTCTGAGGGTACCTACGGGTTCGAACCTCGTCTCAGGCCGTCGTAATTTCGATCCCCGTTTGAATTGAACGGGGAATTGATCGAAGGGGAACGGGAGATCGATGGGAGGATAGTATCACAGTATAATGTCCGTATAATCGTATAATCTCATAAACGATTACTTGAATGACGAGCGTGCATGGCAATAGTTGTTCATGCACGGGATTTTCATTTAATGTTAGACATACACACCTATATATATAAATACATTGTAAATAAAGAGGCTTTTAAAAAAATAATAGACACCTATATAAATATACATTGTAAATAAACTGGCTTTAAAAAAAATATATACTATTGGGTTACTTGCCAGTTCTTCTCAATTGGATCTATATACTGAAGAGGACGGTAGGGAAAAAATTAAAATTATAATGTAAAAAAAATTGACATTCATAAGCGGCTAAAATACCAACACGATTAAATGATTTTTTAATTTGAATTGGAATTTCATACAATGGTGGAGATGGGATGAAGCTAGTAAATTTTTTTACCATCCAGTTCAGTATATAGATCCAATTGAGAAGAACTGGCAAGAAACTCAATTGAGTGTTTTTATTTTGTTTAATTTTTATTTTAAAGCCAGTTTATTTACAATGTGTTACACTAAAACGTGGTAAGATGCCGTGATTTCACTAATTATATGTATATATAATAACCGCGTTAAATTAAAAACAGTATATAACAAAAAAAATATAGAAAACTGTATCACTGATGCAGTGTTATAGGACAATAGGACATTAAATGTAGACATACAATCATAATTACTGCTCATTGTTTGAAACCAAATTGGCAATAAACATGATTGAAAATGAAAACAATGACATTATATAATGTGCACGTCATGGATTAGTGGTTACTACCCCGACTTCCACCGAAGAGGTTGTGAGTTCAACTCCGGCTGATAATGGCCATGGTGTGGTTTAGCTCGCCGTTTTACTTTCGATGCTCGCGGGTTCGATTCCTCGTACAAACATTTGTATTGCTTTGTTTGATTGTTTCATGTCTGGATGACCTATAATAGACTTGGTGGTGTGGTTTCGCACAACGTTTAAATTTCGATGCTCGCGGGTTCGATTCCTCGTACAAACATTTGTTGTTGTTTGTTTCATGTCTGAGTGTTTTCTATGTATATTAAGTATCTAGTACCCATAACACAATTTTTGCTTAGTTTAGGAGTGGATGGCACTGTGTAAATTGTCCAAATATATTAGTATCATTACATAGTATTAAACAAAGTCGCTGTCGCTGTCTGTCTGTCCCTAGTTATGCTTAAATCTTTAAAACTACGCAACGGATTTTGAAGCGGTTTTTTTTATAGATAGAGTGATTCAAGAGGAAGGTTTATACATGTAAATACTTTCTGTGCACATTTTAAGTTAAATTAACATTATTATTATATTAATTGGGTTATAAAAAAATTGTTATGACTATTCAAAAATGCTTAAATTAAGATTATTCGAATAAATGATTTTCTATTCTATTCTATTCGGAAGTGGTATAAAATTTGTCATGTGGGCTAATCAGTAGAATAGAATAGAATAGAATAGAAAATCATTTATTCAAATAAACTTACATTGAAGCACTTTTGAATAGTCATTACATTTTTTTTAATCTACCGCTCGTTCGGAAAGCTGTCTCATCACAAGAAGAACGAGCAAGAAACTTGCGTGTTGCTCTTTTAAATAATTTTATTATTACTTTACATTTTTAAGTTTAAGTGTGTGAATACAAACCACCAATTAGCACTAATTAAATTAAATACTCAAAAAGAAAAAATATTGAATACATAACCAACTGGTTAAACAATTAATAAGAGGAAATCAGTCATAGTGATTAGAGCAGACCAGTCCCTACAAGCAGCACCCGTTCACGAGTATGACGGATGATATAAAATGAAAATGACAGTGGTATAAAAAACATATTACAAATATTATAAACACGAAAGATTGTAACTATGGATGAATGAATGTTTATTACTCTGTCATGCAAAAACTTCTAAACTTATTTGAACGAATCTATACAGTAATATAGCTTATACATCAGAATAATTCATAGGCTATAATTTAAAAAGATATTATGTAAATTGTGGGCGAAATATGATGACATGTCGGGTAAGTGTGATGTAGACAAAGGTACGCGGATCAGCTACTGCGTGCTTTAAATTAAATAAAAAAAACTGCAAATAATAAAACAATTACCTTAATAATGACTCAATTTATCCAACTGCAAAATATATATGAATTAAAACACAAGTTTTTTTATAATAATCTACATAGAAATCACGATATTACTGTTAAACACTTGATATGATACAAATATGTACAGATAATACAGTTTGATAGTAAGTAGGTTTAATACACGAGTTTTTAATCTCAAGTTGACCAACAGACTGAGAAAATTCTTGTCCTTCATCGACTTGAAACTGCCTGTGCAAGTACTGATAATTAGTAGCTAACCAGCTATAGCACAGATAAGATTATAAACCGCCTCGATAGTCTAGTGGTTTAGCACACAGCCTAACTTCCGATGGTCGCGGGTTCGATTCCTCGCACGGTGTAAACATTTGTATTCATGAGTATGATTGTTTGTAATAGTCTGGGTACTTACTATGTATAATATTTATGATTGTCGCAAAAAAATCTATGTACTCATAACACAAGCTTTAGCTAGCTTAACTTGAGTCTAGATGGCGTTGTGTGAATTGTTCTGAGATTATTATTATTATATTATAACTCACTTTATATAAAATTCTTTCCTATATATCGTTTCCTGGTCCCTGGCGGAAAGCATTCTTTATTTCCTAAAGTACCTGTACCTACTTAATAAATAATACATGATACCATCAACGGCAACCATTCGCCATCTTGCCCCGCTAAAGCAGATTTCAGCGACTACAACGCCATCTGTTTTAAGTGACATAACCAGCACAATATATTTTTATTTAATAAATATTATTTATGCTTATAAACTTAAAAATAAATATATAAATAGTAAAGATTAAATCTAATTATAATTATGACATAAAATATATGTTTTAGAAATTTGTAATAATCATGTTTATTATTGAGTACAAGGCATAAGTTCTGATTTGACCATAACAGTCCCACCTGCCTACTGACTTTAAAACGAACCACCACATTGTGTGCACCCGATCGATCCCCCGTCCAATTCAAACAAGGACCGATGTTACGACGGCCTGAGCCCCTAGCGGTGCCCTCAGACTAAAGTCATATCCGTCAGGCCGGAGTTGGCCTTCAGCCGCTCCATAAGTCCTTCCCCGGGTTTGGAGTGCGCTATGCACTCGATCCCTATCGTCCGGTGAAGCTGAACGGCCAGCTGCGGCCAACAGCATTAGAGTAGTCCAAAAAAAAAAAAAAGTGTGCACAGACCAGTTCGGTTTAGATGTTCGAAGTGAAAAATACATAAAAGTGAAAGAAGGAATTAATAGTTGCTCGTTGCCGTAACACAAGTTTCTTGCTCGTTCTTCTTGTGATGAGACAGCTTTCCGAATGAGCGGTAGATTAAAAAAAATGTGATGACTATTTAAAAGTGCTTCAATGTAAGTTTATTCCAATAAATGATTTCCTATTCTATTCAGTTAATTATTTCAAATCATACATTACAACTGAATAAAGCATTTTCACTTAATTTTATTGGTCATTCAAATTCCGTGATGTTCATGTCGACCGCAAACGTATCAACAGTTTAAGATTTCGCTGATGATTTCCATCAGTAATGACTGATGAACGCACCGCAATCGTGATTGCAAATACATATAAGTTTAAGAAGAAATTAATAGTCTCCCGTTACTGCTGTCGCCCCGTAACAAGTATGAATATGTGGCCTTCCCCATATCTTACCGCTAAAAAGATTCCATTTATCGTATCTCCTCAGTTTCAACACACTCTCCTTGATGTGAAGCCAAATCTCGAGGTCCTTGGCGTTGATATATCCAGTGACGTTCAGTTTTGCGGTCATTTGGAGGACAAGGCTAAAATAGCCTCAAAAAAGCTTGGTGTGCTCAGTAGAGTGAGACGGTATTTCACGGCGGCCCATCGCTTGCAATTATACAAGGCGCAAATCCGGCCGCATATGGAATACTGTTCTCATCTCTGGGCGGGAGCACCACAATACCAGCTACTTCCATTTGACCGCATTTAGAACCGAGTAGCCAGAATCATTGGTAATCAACGTATATGTGACAGACTCGACCCATTGGCTTTGCGGCGAGATATTGCATCTGTGTGCATTTTCTACCGCATATATCACGAGGAGTGTTCGGATTAATACCAGCTGCTGAGCTTCACCACCGTACCACCCGCCAGAAACTAAAATACCATCCTGATCATCTGTATGAATGGCGGTCCTCCACAGTGCGGTTTTCTAGAAACTTTTACTATGCACAACCACATTGTGGAATCACCTTCCAGCAATGGCATTTCAGAACCGATATAATATTGAAACCTTCAAGAGCTTATTCCTTTTTAAAAGGCCGACAACGTACTTGCAATTCCCCTGGTGTTGCGGGTGCTCATGGGCGGCGGTAATCACTTACCATCAGGTGAACCGCATGCTCGTTTGTCTCCTGTGTTATAAAAAAAAAATCTTCCCAATAATCATCCACAGATAGACAACACCCACACAAATACAAACAGACATACTTAAGAATACAACTTGTCTTGCTGGAATTGAACCCGCTACCGTTAGCAACATGGCAATATGTTTAAACGCCACACCAGGAAGATCACATAACAGACAATTCTCAGTAATAATATTCTCGACAAGTATTTTGATTTATGTACATAACTACACGTAATGCAATATATATATGTAGAAATGAATAATGTACTTGCTTATTTTGCAATACACTTTAAACGTAATTTCACGTAATCTCAATCAGTAATATGTTCGTATTTACATGTTTGATTGTCTGTGTCACATTGATTTGGGTTTGGCGAAACCGGAAATTTATAAAATTACATCGACAGATCGGAGTTCAATACCCAGCTCTACCATTAATTGGACATGCATATATGTTTGTTGGAGATGGGCAAGGTATTGTTTATTTGTTTATTGTAATACTAGCTTTAATTTTATTTAATTTATATTTAGTTTATTCTATTTAACTTTAAAATTATGTATGTAGTTTATGTAAGTGCATCTAGTTTAATATATGGTTATTGTTATGTACATAAATTTTAATTCACGTAATATTTATTATTATTTTCCTTTATTATCATTATATATTTGTTACCTTTTAGTTTTCTCCTGTTCATGTCATTTTACCTACCTGTTCGATGTTTCAATCCGTTTCCCTAAGGTTGCCTTGAAAAGATTGCTTTTAGCAATAAGGCCGCCTTATTGTAACGATACATGTGTCCTTTGTTATATTGTTTGTGCTTCTTCTTTACTGTACGTAGCAAATAAAGTATATTCTATCTATCTATCTATCTATCTTTACCCACGGTTTAACATGCATTAAATTTATAGTCTAGGTGTGTTGTAAAACTGTGTTAATTAAAAAATAAGTGTACAACACTACTCTGTTTCCCAAAACTGTATACTCTGGAAGTACTCTACTCTGTGTCTCTCTAGTTAAGTCTAAAATAAAAAACACATGTAAAATTGTACATTGATCGTTTAATTATAAAATAATAATAGTAAAAATATAACATGTACTAGAACTTACCCGCGGCTTCGCTCGCATTGTGTCCATTACAGAAGTATAGGACATCATTACAGTAATAATCAATATGAAGAATATACTTTATTAGAATACTAGCTACCCACCCCGGCTTCGCACGGGTGTACATGTATTATACATATAAACCTTCCTCTTGAATCACTCTATCTATTAAAAAAAATCGCTTCAAAATCCGTTGTGTAGTTTTATAGATTTAAGCATACATAGGGACGGACAGACAGCGACAGCGACTTTGTTTTAAGCTGAAGCCTTGTGTCGCAGGAATCAGAAATCCTTAATTACAAAAACATTAACTTAAAACAAAATATGATTTAAAAATTTAATCATTAATTCCAGTATATCCTTTGGTATCTTATTGTAAATTTTTATATCTATTCCCATAAAAGACAGACCCACACGAATGAAGATATTTTAATTTGACAAAATAATTAAATTATTTAATAGATACTTTATCTAGAGAATGCTACATTTTAACAGTTCCAAACATTATAATATACTTTGAAATCTTAATTCAAATCCCTGCATAACTACTTTAAAAACATCTTTACTTCAAATATGTTGAATAAAACGTGATCCGTATAACAAATTGCATTCTCAAGTATCCAGGTCAAATTATTCGAAATAAAAACTGTACGGACGTCCAAGGTTCAGACGAGGATAAACGGTCTTTGACAATTTTGTAGCGTGATGGTTTGAATTTGTATTAATTGTAAACATTATATACACGAGACTAGAATAATGTTATTTAAGAGTTCCGTAGAAAAAAATATTAAAATGTATAGACTGCCCCTAGCCACTTGGTGGAATAACATTAAGAAAAAATTACGGGATCTTACCACATTTTATATTTATTTACTGTTCTGGCTACTTCGTCCACGTGGAATTTAACCTTATTTTTCTAAAATAAAAGTAGCCTCAAGAACTAAAAATTATTTTGTTCGTCTTAATTTATTCGTTCCATTTGATACTGATAGGTTCAAACTAATACATTTACATCCTGCATCATCCCTTATTTTATCCCCTTAGGGGTGGAATTTATAAAAATCCTTTCTTAGGGGAAACCTACGTCGTAGTAACTTTATGCATGCAAAGTCTCAGCTCGTTCGGTTTAAAATTGACAAAGTTTCATACAAACTTTCATCCCCTATTTTATCCCCTTGGGGGTAGAATTAGTCAAAATCCTTTCTTAGCGGATGCCTACGTCATAACATCTACCTGCATGCCAAATTTCAGCCCGATCCATCCAGTGGTTTGGGCTGTGCTGTTGAAAGAGCAACGCAGTTTCTTGCTCATTCTTCTTGTTATAAGTCTTAACTTACGAATAAGTGGTAGGATAAAAAAATCACTATTGCCTTCCCGTTATACCATTATTTGTCGTCGGTGCAGTGTCATCTTATACTGATCCCTATCGGCCGTCATATCTGAGCTCACTCTTCTTTTATACATATCGTCTATCACACAATCTATTAAACTTTTTTTGATCGTCCTCTCCTCTCCATCTACACGCACCACACATCCATCTCTCTTTCCATCCATACATGCTAAATATTTGAAATAGTTGTCCAAATCTTATTAATATTATAAACGCGACAGTTTGTGAGTATGGATAGATGTTGGTTATTATTTCACGCAAAAACTGCTGACCGGATTTTGATGAGACTTTATAGTAATATAGCTTATACATCATAATAACAAATAGGCTATAATTTAAAAAGATATAATGTTAATGGAGTAAGTGCGATGCAGACGAAATCGCGCGGGTGAGGTAGTGAATAAAATAATTGCACGAAGGTAATAATAACTGACGGCCTCGGCGGTCTAGCGGTTTAGCACACTGCCTTACTTCCGATGGTCGCGGGTTCGATTCCTCGCACGGCACAAACATTTGTATTCATGAGTACGATTGTTTGTATCGGTCTGGGTATTTTCTATGTATAATATGTATGTATTTACGAAAAAAATATCTATGTATATGTATCAGTTATCTAGTATCCATAACACGAACTTTAGCTAGCTTAACTTGGGTCTAGATGGCGCTGTGTGAATTCTCTTAGAAAAAAAACTTAACAGTTTTTGTTTGCAGCTAAATTGTCAACTTTCAATACATTGAGTGATATTGCTATGAAATTGAATGGCATTGTATCGCTCTGGTTGGGTGATCGATTTTCCCTCAGTAAGTACAAACAAATTCTCTCTATAGAGTACAAACTTGTGGCGGCGGGTGGGCCGGGTACATATGATTGAGTGGGGGAAAGAGAGCAATCCTGTTTCCCCCCCCCTCAATCATATGTACCCGGCCCGCTCAGTCACATTTACACAGTAATGTGGACTGATGATCTTACTGCTAGAAATGTACCATGTCAGATTGCCCATCACGCGGTTCCCCTGGTAACCATCGTGATAAATTCTTAGTGAATATGTCACGATGAGCTAACTGACCTGACCTCATGCTCATCTTATCATCCTCCACTGGTGCTCCGTCAACGTAAACCGTCAGCGAAGGCTGAAGCACCATTTCATTATTATGTATAAAAATATATGGTGGAGTGCAATGATGGCTGGCTCATCCGTCTTACTCGTGGACGCTGCATATGGGGACTGCTCTGTTCGGGTTACGAACACTGATTAGACTATTTGCTTTTAACAAAATTGCTATAGCATATGTTGGAGGTCATTGCATTCTCCCAAATTTAAATTTAAAAATTAATCTGTATTATTGTAAACATGTACAACATATATTTCAAAAGATTACGAGCTGAGTTTCTTGTCAGTTCTTCTCATCTCGAAATCATTCCGAACTGACAGTAGATTTGACATAAAATAAGAGTCTGTAATAGACCGACATGACCAAAGAAAAAAAAAATGTATTGTCTCTTGTTTGAAAGAGAATGTACCTGCAATAATTAGTTTTCTAGTTTCCTATCAGTTCTTCTCATCTCGCAATCATTCCGACCTGACAGTAAATTTGACATATCATTGGAGTCTGTAATAGACCTACACGAACAAAGAAAATAATATGATGTCTCTTCTTTGAAAGATGAATATTTTTCTTTCTGTCTTTACGTGTATTACATTTTCAGTTGTTGTCGACGCGGAAGCGGCCGAATTGGTTTTGGCCAATTGTCTTGAAAAGGATGAATTCAATCTATTCTTTAGGAAACTGCTCGGTAGCGGCTCTATTATGGCGCCAGGTGAGTATGACTACCAGCGACCTTGTCTACCCCGTTTTTTTTTTATAACAAAGGGGACAAACTAGCATGCGGCTCACCTGATGGTAAGTGATTACCGCCGCCCATGAGCACCCGCAACACCAGGGGAATTGCAAGTACGTTGTCGGCCTTTTAAAAAGGAATAAGCTCTTTTCTTGAAGGTTTCAATATCGTATCGGTTCGGAAATGCCATTGCTGGAAGGTGATTCCACAATGTGGTTGTGCGAGGCAAAAAGTTTCTAGAAAACCGCACTGTGGAAGACCGCCATTCATCCAGATGATCAGGATGGTACTTCAGTTTCTGGCGGGTGGTACGATGGTGAAACTCAGCAGCTGGTATTAATCCGAACAATTCCTCAGAACACTCCCCGTGATATATGCGGTAGAAAATACCCCATCCGATCGATCCGGTCGATCGATCGTTCCCCGTCCAATTCAAACAGGGTTTGAAATTACGACAGCCTGAGCTGAGGATTCAAACCCTAGCGATGACCTCAAGCTAAACTCGCAGCTGAAAGCGACGTTGGGGTGGTCGTTAGAACACTTTGGAAAGACATTAACCTGGCTCTGGGGCCGCTCTTAAATAGGGTTGCAGAGGACAGAGCTGGACATTTCGTAAACTACAGAATATACCCCAATCTTGGGAAAAAAGGCTTTATTGCTATAGTATTAAAATTTGATTTTTTATTCTAAGTCGGAGGTGATAAACCACTAGCTACGACGACGGCAGGAGTTGGCCTTCGGCCGCTCCATAAGTTCTAAATTAATCTAATGTATTCTTTAGGAAACTACTCTGTAGTAGGTCTTCTTCTTCTTTTCTTCTTAATATCTCAGTGGTGCAGCGGTTTAGCTCCTTAGCTCCGTGGGTTCAATTCCTCGCACGGTACAAACATTTGCATTCAAGAGTATAGCTGTTTGTATACAGATAGATATATAGATAGTGTTACGGAAGGAAGGACTGTATTAGGGCTGGTTAAAAATGAGACACGTTCCTAGGTGAGGTAAAATAGGTGTAATCAGCTCGCTAGCAAATATAAAGACCATATGGCATAAGAAAACAAACGGTATATAAAAATAGAACGTCAAAATATAAAATTCAAATATATATAAAAAACTATCAAAAAGGTTGCCATCGGCAACAGATAGATATATAGACCGATATATACAGCTATACACTTACGTTACTATACTTATATGTAATATGTATGTATTTAAAAAAATATCTATACATTTATAAGTATCAGTTGTCTAGTACCTATAACCCAAGCTCTGCTTAGCTTGGGACTAGACTAGACCGTGTGAATCTCTGGATTATATTTATTACTAGCTGTCCCGGCAAACGTTGTTTTGCCTTAAAATAAAAAAAAAAAATTTAGGGGTGGACTACCCCTAACATTTAGGGGGATGAAAAATAGATGTTGGCCGATTCTCAGACCTACTCAATACGCTCACAAAATTTCAAGAGAATCGGTCAAGCCGTTTCTGAGGAGTATGGGAACGAAAACTGTGACACGAGAATTTTATCTTATTAACTTACGCGATTACATTTTAGTTTCTGTGTGGCGACCACGACGCAAGCAGATGGCCCCATTTTTTGGAATAACAAACGCAAACCGGTTCCAAGATTCTCTTCTAAAACATAGTGACAACCTGGTGAAGCATCTGGAATCGATGGCAGATACCGAACCCTTCTCAATGTTCGATGTATTTTATCCGTATGCATTTGACACCATCATGGGTGAGTATTTACTCAAATCTATGTGGTATTTATAGAATATAATAGAAATAATCTTTATTTGCTTTTATTTATTTATTTACTAGCTAATCGCCCCGGCTTTGCGCAGGTGTACTTGTATTATATATATAAACCATCCTCTTAAATCACTTTATCTACTATAAAAACCGCTTCAAAATCCGTTGCGTAGGTTTAAAGATTTAAGCATATATAGGGACGGACAGACAGCGATAGCAACTTTATTTTATACTATGTAATGATTTACTTTATTGACCATTAGAATTGGTACAAAAGGTGGACTTAATGGTATAGCATTCTCTCCCAGTCAACCTTAGAGATGTGCAGAGATACATGCATCGGACTAATAGAATTAAAAAAGAATCATAATAAAAAAATACACATAAATACGTACATATATTAATAGAATTGACCTATTTTTTAATACAATAAATACACTAAATACATACTTACATATTATATATAAACTAGCTTTTGCCCGTGGCTTCGCTCCCATTAATTTATCCCCTTAGGGATTGAATTTATCAAAATCCTTTCTTATGGGATACCTACGTCATAGTAGTTTTATGCATGCAAAGTCTCAGCCCGATCGGTTTAAAATTGACAAACGTTCATACAAACTTTCAACCCCTATTTTATCCCCTTGGGGGTAAAATTAATCAAAATCCTTTCTTAGCGGTAGCGATCGTGCTGAAATTTGGCATGCAGGTAGATGTTATATGTTATAGCCTACGTCATAACATCTACCTGCATGCCAAATTTCAGCGCGATCCGTCCAGTGGTTTGGGCTGTGCATTTATATATCACTATATCAGTCAGTCACCTTTGAGTTATATATATTTAGATATATACATACATTAACAATTTATTCAAATATACTTAAAATAAGCACTTAATAATAGACATTTTTTTTTATTCTACTTCTCACTCGGAACGCAGACTCATCACAAGAAGAATGAGCAAAAAAATCGCGTGTTGCTCTTTTAAATAAATATTGTTCTAAGCACAGATAACATAATATTAAATATCTAAGTAAATGCACATTAACAAAGATGCTTATGGGCAGCGAGCAACAGGTAAAAGTGAGTTTTCTCCCGGTTGAAAACACCTATAATTTTTAATTTTTCGGACTGCTCTAATACTGTTGGCCGTAGCTAGCCTTTACAGCTTCACCGGACGATAGGAGGCGAGTGCAGATGGCACTCCAAACCGAAGGATTTATGGAGCGGCTGAAGGCCAACTCCCGCCTGACGGATACGACTTTAGTCTGACGGCTGATAAAAACCATCGCTCCTAAGAATACCCTTAAATTCTTGATCCTGACGGATCTAGGTAGCGAACTTTGATTAAATATATGTGGGTCTTAGCACCTGACACTAGCCGAAAACCTTGTTAATAATGTGAACTGATCATATTGCTAGCAATGTACCATATCAGGTTGACCTCCACGTGGTTCCCCTTTCAATCTATCGTGATAAATTCTTGGTGAACTTGTCACGATGGGCTAACTGACCTGACCTCATGTTCATCTTATCATCCACCACTGGTGCCCCGCCAGCGTAAACCGTTAGCGCAGGCGGGTGCACCATTCCAATATCACACTTAAAAAAATGTGTATTTTGAAAATTGGTATTATTTTGCAGAACTAATACTGGGTCTCACACTAAACTCCCATGAAGAAGAAGACACCAGGGTGTTGAAAGCTGTACCGGACTGCTTCAATAGCGTAGCTTATTTCCTCTTCCAACCGTATCTCCAGTTCGAAATCATTTACACCAGACTACCGATATGGGCGAAGTTCTTAAACGACAAACAAAACATTCAAAGATTAATCGCCAAAGTACGTAAACAATAATAATAACACTAGTCACACCGGTCACACAATGAGTACACACACACACACACACACCCACTCACACACACACACACACACACACACACACACACACACCCACTCACACACTCACACACACTCACACACATACACACACACACACACATACGCGCCCACGCACGCGCTCACACACGCCGTAACAACCAGCCAAAGCTGAGAGACTGGGGCGATGGAGAGAATAATGCTGTATATAATAAATGCTGGAACAATTTACCACCCGCAAAAAATACTATTCAGTCAGTTTCGTCTTTTAAACTGATGTTTAAAACAAAATGATTTTTTAAAAAATATTTACTAAAAGTACAAAAATCTTAAACGTGGCAGATAAATACAGTAGTTATATATACATATATATTGATTAAATAAATAAATATATTCAAGCTATATTACATTAGACAAAAGTCTTTCTATCAACACTTTTATGAAATTTTATACTTATATATTTTTCTTCTATTTATTACACATACTTATAATTCCTCCATTTAACTCATTCTTCATTTTATATATTTAAATTCATCATGAATGCTCTTTCTTTTTTTTCAAGTGGCTCCACTGAAAATCAGCGCTGTAGTGACACGCTGCGGCACCAGCTGAGTGGAAGCCTTTTCAGCAGCGAATTATTAGTTTTTAAGTTTTCTTTTTTACTCTGTACTCTTTTTTATGCTGAATAAATGATTATTGTTATTAATAATAATAATAATAATAATAACATAACACCAGTCACACAATAAGTACACACACACACACTCACTCACACACACACACACTCACTCACACACACACACACACACACATTGCACATACTTGGTTTCGGCCCGTAAGTGTTGGGTAAGGCCCGTGTGTTTGAACGTATTAAATCTGAACCAATTTAAATTAAATTTGGTACATAGATAGTCTGTTCAGGTTGTGAACACTGATTATTTTTTTTTTGTTCTTTGCGATAGCATATGCTGGTCACTCTATGCTCTCAAATTTGAATTTTAATAACTGTATTTATCATAAACATGTTCCACTATTATTTGAAAAAAATACGAGCTGAGATTCTTGTCAGTTCTTCTCATCTCGATATCATTCCGAACTGACGGTAGATTTGACATATCATAAGAGTCTGTAATAGACCTACATGAATAAAGATATTTTGATTTTAATTTTGTGTTTTCGCTACAACATTGCAGTGATACAGAAAATATTATAGTATATATTATAATATTTTTAAAAATATTGTAAACTAAATGTACATGAAACCGTAAAAATATTAGTAGAGTTTCTTGTCAGTTCTCATCTCGATATTATTCCCAACTGACGGTAGATATGACATATCATAAGAGTCTGTAATAGACCTACATGAATAAAGATATTTTGAATTTGAATTTGAATTTGAATCTAGGTCCTAAGGACATAGGCTACCTTTTAATGCGAAAAAAGGGTTGGTTCAGTAAGTAGTGTCGAGACATTTTTCACTGTGTTTCTTGCCAGTTCTTCTCAATTGGATCTATTTGCTGAACTGGATGGTAGGGTAACAATTATAATATAAAAAATTTGACGTTCAAAAGCGGCTAAAATGTCCTACACGAATAATTTATTTTTTTAATTTCAATTTTAAAGCGTGACAGATAGACAGATAGAGAAATATCGGTGACGTCACTCTCCAACAGAAGTGTAAATGTGTTTTAATTAACATATAATTTGTTTTTTAGGTAATGGCCTCTAAACAAAAGTTATATGATGGAAAAAATAACAACGTCGATGGTATGTGATGTTTTGATATTATGAAACGAATAATTCCTATATATGTATTTTTTACATAAGTGTCAGACAAGCATACGGTCTGTCTGATGGTAAACGGTTACCATTTCCTATGGACGCCTTAAATAATAGGAGAGTCAGGTGTGCTCTGCCGACCCCTAAAAAACCTTAATATACCCTTTATAAAAATTATATACATGTTGTCCCGTTGGTCCACTACTTACGGGACAATCTGTATAACTACCCTTACTAATTATAAATGCGAAAGTAAATCTGTCTGTCTGTCTGTTTCGCTTTCTCGCCAAAACTGCAGAATCTAAAAATGAAATTTATTGCACAGATAGTCTTGAACCTGAGAAACATACATACGCTACTTTTTAATGCGAAGAAGGGTTTTAAAGGGTTGAAAAGGGACATTAAAGGTTATATGGAAGTTTCGCCATTTTAAAAGTTAGAAGGTTCAAACTCATTTTCTAGGCTGTTGATTAATATAATTCATCTCTCCCTTTCAACCCCTTACGGGTTGTAAGGGGTTGAAAGGGGAGAAAAAAGGTTGTACGGAAATATCGTTATTTTAAACATGGAAGCTTGAAACTTATTTTTAATTTGTTGATCAAATATGACAATCTAACTGTACTACTATCTGTGTACCAAATTTCATTTAAATCGTTTCAGTAGTTTTGACGTGAAAACGAAACAGACAGACAGAGTTACTTTCGCATTCATAATATTATTAAGTTTTTTAATCATTAACATTTAATTTTTTACTATTTTACAGCAAATATTTCATTGAAATCACTTGTCGATTTCCTGTACTCATCGCCTGATGACAAAAAATTGTCAATTGATGAGATACGAGAGGAATTGTTCGTGATGCTGTTCGGCAGTACTATTCTACCGTGCGTTTCATTATGCTTCACATGCATGATGCTGGCGAAGTATCCAGATGTACAGGAGAAACTTATTCGAGAGTGCGTACCAAACAGTTTTTATTTTATTGAAGACACAGGGTGTACATGTATATAAACCTTCCTCTTGAATCATCTATCTATTAAGTTCTTCTATCTATTAAGAAAACAGCTTCAAAATCCGTTGCGTAGTTTTAAAGATTTAAGCATACATAGGGACTGCAAATTGAACAAGCATATGGCTAATCTAGGCCTATGCACGACAAGTATCTGCAGATTCTGCCAAACTGAAGAGGAAACGCCGCTTCACATCCTATGTGGTTGTAGCCCACTCATGCATAAACGAAATATCTCCTTTGGAAAGTTTACACTCTTTCCCGAGGAGATAAAAACGATCGCTCCTAAGAATATCCTTCAATTCTTGTCCCTGACGGGTCTAGGCAGCGAACTTTGAAACATAGCAAGAACAATAGATCTATGTAGGTCGCAGTGCTACAGGTGCTACACATCTGACAATAGCCCAAACAACCCAATAAAAAAAAAAAAAAAATACATAGGGACGGACAGACAGCGACAGCGACTTTGTTTTATACTATGTAGTGATTTACAAATATTCCATCATATCATAAGCATTACACCCCTTACAAATGTCTATTAAGAGCTGAGATATTCTCCTATACTTGACGACCTCGGATGTCTAGCGGTTTAGCGCACCGCTTTATGTCCGATGGTCACCGGTTCGAGTCCTCGCACGGCACAAACATTTGTATTCATGAGTATGATTGTTTGTATCGGTCTGGGTGTTTTCTATTTATAATATGTGTGTATTTACGAAAAAAAATTTATGTATGTATTTGTATTACTTATCTAGTACAAATGTTTATACACTGTATTTATTTATTATTTACTAGCTACTCGCCCCGACTTCGCACGGGTGTACATGTATTATAGAAACCTTCCTTTTGAATCACTCTGTCTATTAAAAAGAACCGATTCAAAGTCCGTTGCGTAGTTTTAAAGATTTAAGCATACTTAGGGAAATAGGGACGGACAGACAGCGACTTTATTTTATACTATGTTGATGATGATGTTGATGGCGATGAAGATGACGGTGATGATGATGATGATGATGACTTCTCAGGTTAGATGAAGAAAGTAGTCGTTACGAAAAAGGATTAACAAAAAGCAGACCGCATGAGAACAAATATTTGGAGGCGGTCATTAAGGAGACTTTTCGACTGTACCCATCAGTCCCTACTGTGTCCAGGAAAATCGATAAAGATATCGAGATGCGTGAGTATTCGATTTCCCATAACTTTGACGGCCTCACTGACGTAGCGGATAGTACACCGCTTTACTTATTACACGGTCGCGGGTTCAATTCGCACGGTAGAAATATTTGTATATTATACTAGCTACTCGCCTCGGCTTCGCCCGGGTGTATATGTATTATGCATATAAACCTTCCTCTTGAATCACTCTATCTATTTAAAAAAATCACTTCAAAATCCGTTGCGTAGTTTTAAAGATTTAAGCATATATAGGGACGGACAGACAGCGACAGCGACTTTGTTTTATACTATGTAATGATATTTACAAAAGAAATATTTAATTACTAGCTGTTCCCGCGACTTCGTCCGCGTGGAATTTAACTGAATTTTTCTAAAATAATAGATTTTTTCTAAAATAAAAATTAGCCTAAGTTACTCGTTATTACATCAGTTACCTTCCAAAGAAGGTTCCGTCAAAATCGGTCCAGCCATTTCAGAGATTAGCCGGAACAAACAGACCGACAAACAGACAAAAATTGTAAAAGTGGTTTTTTGGTGTATGTACCACATTTATATTCGTATGCATGTAGTCAAAAACTGTTATTTCAATATTACAAACAGACACTCTAATTTTATTTATATGTATAGATTTAGATCAGTTACCTAGTTATGTAATATTATGTTATCTGTGCTAGTAATCATAACACGAGCTCTGGTTCGCTTGGGACTAGATGGCGCTGTGTTAATATTGAACGCCTCGATGGTCTAGTGGTTTAGCTGTTTTACTTGTACTTACTTGTTGCTCGATGATCGCGGGTTCGATTCCTCGCACGGTACAAACATTTATATTTGGTGAACTGACTCACCAATTTTTACTCATTGTTATTATCGGTCTGGGTATTTTCTATGTATACTATATATGTTAAAAATATATAAAAGTATTTCTATCTGTCTATCAATATCCTGAGATATTGTAATTATTGTAAGGGTTATTAATATAGGATACGAATGGCACTTAGTTATTGTTTTTATTAATGATAATGGAATGGTGCCCCCGCCTGCGCTTACGGTGGAGGATGATAAGATGAGCATGAAATCTGGTCAGTTAGCCCGTGACAATTTCGCCAAGAATTTATCACGATAGTTTCCAGAGGGAACCGCGAGGTGGTCAACCTGACATGGTACATTGTTTGCAATAGGCTCAGTCCCCATTATTAACAATTCCCGTCGCCCCGGCAGTTGATTATAAAGTGCAACACATGGGAGCTATCACGGGCACATGATGACGTGATGTCTTCTCTCCTGTTCATACACAGACGGTCATAATCACCATTTACCACCAAAGGAACACGTCAACATATTTGTCATTCTCGTAATTAAAAAAAAAAGTTTCCTAATTTACGTATTTTCAAATATTAACATATAGTAATAGACAGACAGCTGTCCAAACAGTAAATACATTTTGTAATATAATTTAGGTAAATGCGTCTGTGACATGCCTGTCAGAAATTTGCATATCACCCAAAGAAAAAATCTACATGTATGTACGCAAAATGTGTATTTCGACTTTGAACATTAATAATATTTAAATAAAAACTAAATCGCCTTGTGTTCATAGAATAACAATTAAACTCATTTTCATCCCGAGACAACAACGTGACACAAAGAAAAAAAAATACATACATAATGAATCTCTCGCACCTACAGAGCTGTTAGCTACGACTCAGTGATTCACTATACTTACTTCTAAAACTCAAGAGATCAATTCCAATTTGGCCAACATCATAAAAAAATGTTAAGATGAATAAATATTTCTTTTAATTTTCTTTCTTTCGTGAGAAATCTTTACCCTTCGTAAGGGGGCGGCCATAAACTATGTGAGGTGTTTTTATTTATTTTCTGTAATGATGAGATGTCGTGAGATTTTATCCCACATCCCCCAATCTCATGAGAGATTTTCAAAATTAAAAAAAAAAATTGTTTTGTTTAGTATTTACTACTAGTTAAGACTAGTAATCAGTTGAGAGTTATAAGTGTAATAACCATGTACAATGTGGATTAAATGGACCAATGATAATGGATATTAAATTATATGAAATGATATTATTTTATTTTCGTTCTACATTTAGTCACAAAATAAAACATCTGAATGCACCGTGAATTTTTGCCTTTTTTATTTATTTGCTAATACATATAAATAAAATTGGAGTGTCTGTTTGTAATATTGAAATAACCGTTTTTTACTACATGCATATGAATATAAATACGGTATATAAACCAAAACAACATTTTTTTACAATTTATGTCTCTGAAATGGCTGGACCGATTTTGACGGTATTTTTTTGGCAAGTAGCTGATGTAATAGAAGTAACTTAGGCTATTTTTATTTTAGAATATAAAGTTAAATTCCACGCGGACGAAGTCGCGCGTACAACTAGTTATATATATAAAACTACTAATGACAAATAGCACATGTTATCTATTGCATTCACATACTTCAACTTAAAATGTAAAGTAACAATGAAATTATTTAAAAGAGCAACACGCAAGTTTCTCGTTCGTTCTTCTTGTGATGAAACAGATCTTCTTGTGATGAGACAGCTTTCCGAATAAGCGGTAGATTAAAAAAAATTTTGACTCTTCAAAAGTGCTTAAATTAAGTTTATTTGAATAAATGATTTCTATTCTATTCTATTCTATAATTTGTGGGAAATCTGGAGCCGAAACTAAGCTATAGCCTGTACCTTAGACACCAGGTCTCCCCTTCATATAAATTTGTTATACATTTATTTTAAACGTGGAGTGCATTGAGCATATGTGTGTGTGTGTGTGCGTGTATGTGTGCGTGTGTGTGTATGTGTGCGTATGTGTGTATGTGTGTGAAACTAAATCGTCTGGTTTAACATATATTAGTTCTATAGTTTCTATAGTTTTCTATGGTTTATATTGATATGTAAAACCACATTTAATCAATAAATTTCATTTCATTCCAGCATCAGGTACAGTCCTGCCCGCTGGAGCAGCCTGTTTCATCAGCATATAACATACTCAAATCCTAAATATTGTGTCCTGACAGACTCCTTCAGACCTGAACGATTCTTCGATCGTCCACCCAAACACCCGGCTAGTCTGATGCCATTTAGTTATAAATCTAGAGGTTGTATTGGTAAGTTATAGACACTCGACAATTAAGACAGAACCAGCAAGTCCCATGCTAAGCATAGCTAGTGTTATGGGTAGTAAAGAACTATTAGATATACTTAGATATATTTAACCAGCAAGTCCCATGCTAAGCATAGCTAGTGTTATGGGTAGTAAAGAACTATTAGATATACTTAGATATATATTTTGTAAATACATACATAATTTACACTCAAGGGGAAAGTGGATTGTTAGTAATGTGTCTGATGCCTTTTAGTTATAAATCTAGAGGTTGTATTGGTAAGTTATAGACACTCGGGACAATTAAGATAGAATCCAGCAGTCCCATGCTAGTATAGCTAGTGTTGGGTAGTAAAGAACTATTAGATACTTCAGATATATATTTTGTAAATACATACATAATTTACACTCAAGGGGAAAGTGGATTGTTAGTAATGTGTCTGATGCCTTTTAGTTATAAATCTAGAGGTTGTATTGGTAAGTTATAGAGATTCGACGCAAGTCCCATGCTAAGCATAGCTAGTGTTATGGGTACTAGAGAACTAGATATACTTAGATATATTTTTTTGTAAATACATACATAATTTACACTCAAGGGGAAAGTGGATTGTTAGTAATGTGGACTGATGATCTTATTGCCAGCAAAAGTTTGTAGTATGGATGTATGTTTGTTACTCATTCACGCAAAAACTACTGAACCCGTTTTTGTTTAAACTTTACAGTAATACAGCTTATACATCAGAATAAGATATAGGCTATAAATTTCATGCGCGTGAAATCGCGGGCACAGCTAGTCTTGTATATGTATAGCTTAACCTAACTTAGGATCTTGTGTCTGATCCGACATTAATACCAATGTTTGCACCGTGCGAGGAATCAAACCCGCCACAATGGGCAGTAAAGCGGTGCTAAACCGCTGGACCATCGAGGCCTTCAATTATTGCTATTATTGTTGTCGGTTAAAACTCTTTATTAGACTGAGTTTGGTATAAAAAAAAATGTAATAAAATTCTTAATAGAAAATATATGTAAATATTAATTATAAAACTATATACGTCATACTCGTGAACGAGTGCTGCTTGTAAGGACTGATCTACTTAATATCTGACCCTAATAAATTAGTGCTTAGTTGGTGGTTTGTATTCGCAGGTTCGAATTGGAAATGTAAAGTTACAATGATTATTTAAAAGAGCAACACGTGCTTTGCTGTTCTTCTTGTGATGAGAAAGCTTTCTCCGAATGAGCGATAGATTTTAAAAAAAGGTTACGACTATTCAAAAATGCTTAAATTACGTTTATTTGAATAAATGATTTTCTATTCTATTCTGCACGGCTCGCAAAAACTTTCGTTGTCTTTATTTGACATTTTATTTACATCATTATTGTTACAGGAATGCACTTTGGTATGTTATCATTGTGGTGATACTAGCATCTCTGCTCAAGGAGTACAGATTTCTCCCGAACACCACGCCGACTGATGCGTGCCTGTACGACTTCTACGATATTATACTCAAAGATGCTGACAAT